AGGGACAAGCACAAATCTCCCTGAAAGGAGTTAGATTATGCTGTGTAGTCCTATCAGCTCAGCTGGAACTAATTCGGGAAACCCTCATCACTAAATAATGTGATTTTAAGTCTGGAATAGCTCAGGGTTTTACAAAAGGAAGAATTTTCTCTTACTAAAAAAACTATTGAGCTTTCAGATTGCAGAGAGGATTTCTACTACCTGCAGCCACCACAGCAGGAACCAGAGCACTGTGGAGTTAATAAGCCCAGTCAGAACTTGAGGAGAACTAATGAACTCTCATGGCCTTCTTAATACCTGTGAGGAGCCATGCAGTTTTCTTGACAGCCTTTTCCCCATCATTTGAGGTCCTGCAGTGCAACGCTGAGCAGCAGGCAGTCTATAGGCCTCTTTAATACCAAGCCCTGCTCCACATAGGCTCGGCCCCGTGCTTCTGGATCACAATGGGCATTGGAAGCAGCACTGCAAGGCTACCTGCTCCATACTTCATTTTGCGGGTTCTCATGGCACAGCTGATTCTCCAGACTCTGCTTCCAGGATTTGCTCTGCTTAGTGGCCCAGAAATTCTTCAGAAACTTTTATTTGCACCAGTAAAACTGACAGAAGTAATAACATACATACACACCAAAACTGGAATTCTAGGATATGTTTAGGATTTAGGTAAAGAGATCAGTCTCACCAATAAAATATTTTGAGCTTGTCAAAGCAGTAGACTCGTCCTTTTTTTTTCTTGGGAAGATCCTGAAACTGAGAGTACTAAAAACCCCAAAATATTCATGTCTGAAAAGTGAAATGCTGTAAATAAAAGACCAGTTAAACAATTGAAAACAAAGAGTATGTTTAAATGATCATTCCTTTTTCCTTCCTCAACTTAAGAAAAAAAATATACTATTAAACAAGTTCCCAGCTACTACTGTGATGTTACTGCCATGACTTCTAAGCCATATCATAAAATCATTTGAATGAAAATTTGCACTTTAGTGGAAAAAGGTGTTGTAAATAGAATCATGGAATCATACAATCACCAAGATTGGAAAACGCCTCCAAGATCATCCAGTCCAACCATTCACCTACCACCAGTATTTCCCCACTAAACCATGTCCCTTCGTACAACATTTAAATGTTTCTTGAACACCTCTAAGGATGGTGACTGAAGCACCCTGGGCAGCCCATTCCAGTGCTTGACCGCTCTTTTGGAGAAAAATTTTTTTCTAATATCTAACCTGAATCTCCTCTGGTGCAACCTGAGGCTATTCTCTCTCATCCTATCTCTAGTTACATAGGAGAAAAGGCTGGCCCCTACCTCACCAGAACCTCCTTTCAGACAGTTGTAGAGAGCTATAATGTCTCCCCCGAGCCTCCTCTTCTCCAGGCTAAACAATGCCAGTTTCCTCAGCTGCTCCCCATAAGACCACACTCCAGACCCCTCACCAGCTTCTGGACAGAAGCCTCACCCAGAGCCTCAATGTCTTTCTTGTAGCGAGGGGCTCAAAACTGAACAGGGTACTCAAGGTGCAGCCTTCATGAGTGCTGAGTACAGGATAATCACCTCCCTGTTCCTGCTGGCAACACTACTTTGGATACAAGCCAGGATGCCATTGACCTTCTTGACTACCTGAGCACTCTACTGGCTCATGTTTAGTTGAGCACTGATGAACACCCCTAGGTCCATTTCTTCTACTCAGTTTTCCAGCCACTGTGCCCTAACCCTGTAGCATTGCCTAGGGTTGTTGTGGCCAAAGTGCAGAACCCAGCACTTGGTCCTGTTGGCCCATTGGGCTGAGCTCAGTGATACAGCCTGTCCAGATCCCTCTGGATTTAACTCCATTCACCACCACTCTCTGGGCCTGGCCATGCAGCCAGTTCTTTACTGAGCAAAGCATGTATCTGTCCAAGCCATAGACTGCCAGCTTCTCTCAGAGAATACTGAGGAAGACAGTGTCAAAGGCTTTGCTGAAGTCCAGGTAGACTATGTCAACAGCCTTTCCCTCATGTGGCAGGTGGGTCACTTGATCATTTGATCATAGGAGGAGATCAGGTTGGTGAAGCAGGACCTGCCTTTAATGAGCCCATGTTGGACAAGCCTTATCCCCCAGTTGTCCCGCACATGCCATGTGATCTCACTCAAGACAATCTGCTCCATAATCTTTCCAGGCACTGAGGTCAAGCTAACAGGCCTGCAGTTCCCTGGATCCTCCTTACAGCCTTTCATGTAGATGGGAGTCACGCTGGCAAAGCTTCAATCCTTTGGGATCTCTCTGGCTGACCAGGAACACTGATAGATGGTGGAAAGTGGCTTGGCAATCATTTCTGCCAGCTTCCACAGCACTTTGGTGGATCCAATAAATAATATTGTTATTATTTATTTAGAATCAAAGAAATAATTAAAGTGATGAAAAAACACTCATACAGCACTCCTCACCCTTGACAGACAATTAGTACACAGCAAAAGCCATAGAGCATTGAAATAATTATTCAAATAAGAATGCAGCTAGTAAGAACAAGTAAAAACACCCCCACAAAAAAAAAAAAAAAAAAAAAAAAAAAAAAAAAAAAAAAAAAAAAAAAAGTGAAAAAAAAAAGAAAGAACAGGCAAGCTAACCTTCCCCCTCATTTCTTGGTGAATGCACAAAAGCTATCCCATTAGACACAGTCCTTTTGTGACTGTGTAAGGATAGCAGTGTATTTACTTTTATTCAACCCCCATTGATTTCTTCCCTTTTCATATGAATAATAGCACCAAGTAATCACTTGTGGAAGTCATCATTGCAACAGTGGGCAAGACTGATTTTGACATTATAACTTGCATGATCATTTCAGAAGTGCATTCAGGATGTATATGCTACATAAAATGGACAGGCATACAGAACGTAATCATACTGCAGGACACGAGAACATATTTTACTAGCACTTTCAGTGGGACATTATGCTTATGGTTCCATTTTCAATGTTCTGAACTGAAACTTTTTGTAAATGAAGAAAAGAAACAGGAAAGGAAGGAAGACAGAAGAAAAAAAAAAGTCTCAGGGTCTTTTGTGTGTAGTGAAATTTCTATATACACTCTGAGCTACACAACAGTTATAAAGCACTACATACAGACTGAAGTGCTTTGCATTACTGGTTAAGAAAGCTTTAACTATTTAAACAAATCGTAATTTTACAGAACATTTAGACAAGTTAAAACACAAAAAGTTTGTGATTTTAGGAATAGAGATGGTATTAGGATTCTGGGAAATGACACCATACTTTTCATAATCTGAAAAATAACTGTGAGATGACATAAACTTTCCATACTCTCGCTGCAATCTTGAAGGAGCCTGAGAAGAACTATTTGGTAAGAAACAAAGCTAGCAAGTAGAAAGTTCAAAACCGATAAAGGAAAAAGTAGGGATGAGCTGTGAGACTCCCTGCCACAATGAAATATAAAAGTCCCCTGGGGTTGAACAGGAGACCAAATGTCACAAAAGAGAAATCCTCTGAAGATTACTGAATATACAGCATCACCCCTGGCTCAGAATGTCCCTGAGTGTCGAAAAGCTGAAAGGATGGAAGAATATTTATGGGAAACATTAAGAACAGTTGTTCTTGTTCAATTAGTAGTCCTACACACCCTTTCTGATTGCTCAAGATAGGACTCAATCACAAGACATCATGATATATTAATCTTTGATCTGGTCCAGCACTCATACCAACAAAATTCTTTCTGTTGGTCATAACTTGTCATTTCTCTTTTCAAGTCTCCTCTCATGTCAGTTGTTAGAAGTACAAATAACCAAAATGATATCTGAATTATGGGAACTATAATCCATGGAGAGGAAGTCTAAACATCTAAACTTGAAGCCTTTGCTGTGCTCTGCTGGTGGCTCCAGTTCGGTGCGCTCATTCACCCACTCATGCAGCCTTTCTCACTACTTTTATGTAGCTTTCCAGAGCAAAGACTCCCCAGAAAAGGTTTTAATTCTTCCTACTCCAACACCCAGTATAGCAAGTGGCAATGGCGCAGCACTGCTCCCCCAGTGTCATTCCTATGTGTGAAGGGACAGAGAGGCTGTGGTTGTTTCATTAACACTTTCTGGGGGGGGGAGGGGAGGGAAAAAAAAAAAAAGAAAAAAAGAAAAAGAGAGATGAAAACTATTACTGTCATCACCATTTTTGGTTCTCTATATCACTGCATCATTTAATCACAACTGTTACCACAACTCCCATCCTTGTCACCATCACAACACTCCTAGGCTGTCACTAGTTCTCAGCCACCAAACTGAACTGTGTGCTATGGACCATAAGTCTGCCTTTCAAACTGTCTCTATATCGCAAAAAAAAAAGAACTCTTCCTACCATCCTTGGACTTGTTATCTCAAGTGCCAGCTGTGCCTGCTATGTGGGAGATGTTAAATGCTTTAGTGCTGCAGCACATCCAAGCTGTGTGTGCCTCAGAGCACAGCCTGATGTTCTCAGTGCAGCTCTCTCCTATGCCTGACAGAAAAATGAGAATTTTGTGGACTTAGAAGAAAAGCTGAAACCTCTGCTAATGTTATGAAAGATATTGCTATGTCCAACTATATAGCTTCTGCAGACACATTTTTGGCTAGTCAGAGCAACAACGCTGCCCAGTATGTTTTCTTCAGACCAAGGAGTTCAGACTGCATGTACTTACTCCTGTAGCTGGAACACACACACAAAAGCAGAAGTAGAGATACTCTCACGAAGATTTGTGAATTTGTGAAGGATATTTTCAATTGTTATTATTATTTGCCTCATCCTGTGAAGGGCTATAAGGTTCAGCAAAACTGTTCTTGTTCAATACTTTATATATCACTGCTGATCCTTGACCTACAGAGGGAAAGAACTGGTAAAACGTTTCCTAACAAAGAACACAATTTCTGTGACAACTGAACTATGAAAAACTTTCATTTCCACTTAACAAACTCTTCTATTTTTCAACCTTTGATATTTTGACTTTTGCCTTGTTTGTCTCTCCAAAGTGAGAGAGGCTACGAACAATGCAGAGCAGTCGCTTTCTCAAAGGGCAGAAGCGGCAAGGAAAGACAGGGAATGATTGCCACCAAGTGGAGAAATACAAAACTGCACGGAATGCCTGCGTATCGCTTCTTTCCCTGCGCAATCCCGAGGGAAAACATGTCAAACAGCTCTCACTGCACCACTCTAAGAATCAGCTGCAACTTTTCACCATTTGCTTGACTATTTCCAAAGCATATTTTAAACTACATGTATCCTGCCTCAGAAAGTTAGTCGTTTTGACTTTCAAATAGTTCATATAGTTCATCATTTGGTGAGCACAGGTAAAGCCCATATACGTCTCTGTCTTGCATTTAAAGAACACTGCCCCATGAATAATAATAACACAGTGATTTTTCCATAACACAGTGAGCCCTCTAATTCCTGGCTGCTACTGCCTCCGAATTTTTTCTTTAGCTTTGGACACTCTGACACTGAGTTCCATAAAAGAAGAGACAGATATAAAATTCATCTTTCTTTTTTACATTTTCCAGGACTTTGTGCAGACTGCTGCCTACCCAACTTTTGTACCTTCTGTGAATCTTGTTCTTAGCTGTTTAAGCATTCACACTTTGTGGTAAGGACTCCTGAAACTTAACTTAGGGAAGGAGATTCTGATGAAAAGCACAGAGGCAGAAAAGTAAGCATCATAAAACTATGACTTACATACAATTACTCAAAGAAATGCAGCTTCCTAACTCTTTTGACTAAACTAATGGGAATGATTCTCCATGCATAATTAAGCAAAGTACTCTTACATAAGTAGCTGTAATTGCAAGAAACAGTGATAGAAACGATCTGAAAGATGGCAGAGGAATGTATTGTCCTTCCAAAGCAATTTGTACTGCCTGTAAATATAACTTTAATATCAATGGTCTCAATAGGAGTAATTAAAAGTATTGGTAAAAAACAAACAAACAAAAAACATACATCCTGTCTCTTTTTAATCCTAATTTCATTTCTCAGGACATATAATTTAGTGATTGGTCAGTGTAACTGGCCTTCTTTGGCTCCTGATAGTACTAGCTTACTATGGGAGAAAAAACCACCGGTGCCATGTTTGGGTGATGGCAAAGGCTGTATAACCAACCATTTTAGATGTACTTTAAGCATTTGAATAAATAATGAAAAGTGAACACACAACTTCTTAACCTCACACAGCTTTGCACCTTAGCTCAAGAAAAACAGCAGGCTAGTGGTAGAGACCTGTGTATTCATGATATCCATAAAGAGTCTCATTCAGTCCCTAAATTTGTCTGTTATACACATATTTTTGTTACTCTACAACATCAAGAAATGCAAATGTTCCAGTGGGACTATCTGCTTCTTGGGAGTTTGCTTCTGAGTTTTACATCTCCTAATCCAGCAATTCAGCACTTTTAATAATAGGCAATCTAGTCATTTCTGATATATTAAAGCAGAATGTAAGCATCTACGGACAGTTATCTGAAATTCTTCAACTGAAATGTCTCTCTTTCACACCAATTTTCACTGAGGATATAAGGAATATTTACAGGTCCGTCAACTTTTGACAGACACTGAACCAATCATCTAATCCAGTATACTTAATATTTGTCTATGAAAGTGGCTTGAGCAAAGAATCATAGAATCATAGAATCACTCAGGGTGGAAAAGACCTTAAAGATTAATGAGTCCAACCACAACCTAACCATACTAGAAGAAACCCAAAATCTACAACAAGGTGTCTACAGTCTGCTCTGTAGCTCACACTTATTTCCAAACGCTGTATAATAACTCCCCTTTTTATAGAGTACTCTTTATAAAGCAAATAGAGTGGTGAAGTAAGGAGAAAAATTCTGGAGAAGGTATTGAACACTATCTAAGGAAAACACTTCTAGAGACTACAACATAAACTGTGGACTTTTTGAGGGGTCAATGAGAATCTCTAACTTTTAAGAATTATTAGAGAAATAACAAGAATTAGCAAATATATTGAGTCAAGGAAACAAGTTTTGTACTTTCATCATTCTTAGTAGGTTGTAAGAGTTACTTGTCCTCAACTGGGGCTAAAATGGCACTTGGCTTAGATATTTCTAAAATATTTTTCAAATGAAAATATATAAATTCATATATTACTAGATTAATACTTACATAGAAAGATGAAATAATCTTAAAGGCTGTAAAGGTAAACCCTTTCTTGTATTTAGCAAAATTTAGCAAACAAATCATTATAAAAAAAAAAAAACAGATTTTTATATGCTTTCCTGAACACTCACATGCATATAAGTGACTGCATTTCTTTTAGTGACTAAAAAAATCACAAATTATTTGGTTTTTTTTCTTTTGCTTATTTTGATCAATATGAAAGGTTTATGACAGTTAAATCAAACAAGATAAAAAATACATAATGGAGAAAATAATAGCGATTAGAGCTAACGTTATGTACGTACACAACAGTAAGAGTAGATCACTACACCATATTTAACACTACAAAGTGATAACATTGTGATGGAGAAAAATGCTAAAATAATGTGCTATATTTTTTATTATGGTATCTTAATGTTTTGCTGTTAAAGTATATTTTTTTCATTCTAAATTGTCCATCCTCCAAATATGTTTAAAATTTTACAGACTGGTTTCTATAACAACTAACAAAAATGAGACACAGTATGAAAAGTATTTTCTCAAAGACATTTTGGCTCATATTTGGTGACCTTGTGCCTGAAGAAGGCATGAAGGCAACTTCTTTAGAGCCAGCTAAGATGATGTGAGGATTTTCCCCAGTTCAAGAGATGAACTGCCCACCATGTGACCTCCCTGAGGGACACCTCTATCAGGCATCCACACTGCCTGATCTCTCAGTCCTTGATTTGATGCATCATTTCCCTGAAGAGGAATGAAGACTGTATATTCTGTCTAAAGTATGGCAGCAATCCCTGTTATACTGTAAATACTGATGTACTGTAATGCTCCTCTATTTTTCATTTTCCAGGAAACTGACTGAACGCTGAGTAAATCTCTGCTCTTGAACAGAAACTGAGTCTTACTTGTTCTTCCATAACCCAGTAGTTTCTATGCTTCCAGGAACTCAGTGGGAGTTGCTGACTCCACAGAGCTGATCAGTGGTATTTTGCTTCAGACAACACAGCAGTTCATACCTCCTACTGACTTAGGAATTATAGTACTACTTTTTTCTATCACCGAGTGTAGCTGTATTTTATTCTGTACTTACAAAAGCTACTACAGTAGATACACGATGGAAATGATACTATAATAACTGAGACAAAAATAAACCTCATGCAGAAAACCAGTTCTTTTTCATCATTATAGAGACGAGCACACTGATCTGTGTTTTTAAGGTCATTTTCAAAGAACTATAGGATAATGCTTTAAAAATACTGTATTGTACTGAGATCCTCGCCAGCTTATAACATTTATTAATAGAAGGACATCAATTCTTCTATTGCCTTTAGTACTGTGGAACAATAAAAAACTTCTGTGAAAGTACTGTAATTTCTGCTAGTTAAAAGATTTATATATAAAGCAGAAACCTTCTCTTCCCTTCTCAGTTTCTCTAGGATTAATTTTAACATTTTTTCCTTTGCATTTCCACTTTACACTGATAAAAAGGCATTAAATTAGGCAGCCCCAGCTGAACTCTGCAAATGTCCTCACAACTTCCAATTACTGGCAGATACAAACTATTTATGTTGGATAAAAGCAAGTATGAAATGCCAACATTGGCCAAAATCTAAGGCTGATGGTAGTTTTCAAAAAAGCAGCTGACAACTGTTTTGAACTCCGTCAGTGCATTTTCCTGTCTTTGTGGAAAACCAAGAGAACAGCCTATCTTATCCATTAGTGAAGTCACATTCAGTTCCTCGCTATAAATTACAAAAGTGAAAAAGAACATGTGATTCTGGAAAGATTGTATCCCACACAATTTAAGCAAACCAGAAAAATGTCTTGCTTGGAGATTTACTGCTGAGCACATGAAAGAATAAACATTTTTCTCAAGGAAGGCAAAAACGCATTCTGATGATTTACTGGGTTCGCAGAAGACAGAAACGTATCCTGTTACTGAAAAGGTCATTTACTACACGCAGATGTGTTTTTATATGAATAAATATTGTATTTACGACACAAATTCAGTACAGTTTGAGTGGGCTAACTAAAAACAAACAAAAAAAAAAGAAATGTATTTTCCTGTACTTATAATTGGAACAGAAATGACTGCAAGGAGCACATGGCAAGGAATATCAGCGTATTTTTATTTGTATTTTCACAGTCCACTTGACTCAGTGAGGCTACTGATGGAGGCCAAGGGGAAGGCTTGATCTGGACACAATTGGGCTGTAACGGGGGAAAGGCAGGCTGGTGGCAGATATTAGCACTGAGGTGACCGCAGACGAGCAGACGAGCAGACGAGCAGACGACCTTCCCCTTCACCCAGCAGCAGCCTCAGGCAGCCGCACACCCCACCCTCCGTTCCAGCCGGAGGAGGGCCCCGCGCACGCCCTTCCACCGCGCATGCTCTGCCCGCCCCGGGCTCGGCCTGCCGAGGAATGTTGGGCTCCCGGCGGCCCGTAGTTTCCTCGGCAACCGGCAGGAAGCGTGGCCGCGCGTGGGGCTGCCCGCCGCCGGGCTACGGCCGGGCCACGGGGGGATCGCGGAGAACGAGGGATTGCTGCTGCTCCCTTTCTCTGCCCCAGCTGCGCTCCGGGAGAGGGTTCAGACAGCGGGGTAAGTGAGCAGCTTCGCCTTTACACCCTGCTTACTGCCAGCCTGCCTTTCGTACGTGCCTTCCAGAAACCGAACACAGGTCTCCTTTTTTTCTCTTTTGAAAGACATCTTTCAGATGTGCTTTTTGCCTCGTTTCTATTTACGGGTTCCTGTCCTCTGCCAGTAGGACGATTAACCTCGGTCGTATCACACCTTTGGCAAAAGCTGTGCACTTGGTTTGTACATATCCTTTCCACTTTCCTAACTCCCATCTTTACTTTTGTCCCAAAGGGCTGGGCTGCCGGTTGTCACTTATTTTTTTATTGCATTTTCTGTGATGGTGTGAGCAGTGACTTGAAATATGTCTAGAATTGTTCTTACTTAAAACAGTATTATAAGTATTAAAAGTATTTTAAGTGCTTGGCACGTATCTTAATTGCTTCTTGGAAGTGGAGAGAGTCTGAGTGCTTCTAAACATGTGGTTCAACATATCTGAGTGCGAGGCCTTTCACCCCCACTACCAATACAAGGATTGAGCACAGCTCTGCCAAAAGGAACTTGGAAGTACTGGTGTGTGTGAAGCTGGACGAGAGCCAGGAATGTGCCCTTGCTGCCCAGAAAGCCAACCGTATCCTGAGCTGCATCAAAAGCAGCATGGCCAGCAGGGCGAGGGAGATGATCCTGCCCATCTGCTCTGTGCTGGTGAGGACTCACCTGCAGTACTGTGTCCAAATGTGGAGTCCTCAGTACAGGAGAGACATGGAGCTGTTCAAGGACGTCCAGAGGAGTGCAAAAATAAAGGATGGAACACCTCTCCTATGAGGACTGGCTGAGAGATCATGGGCTGTTCGGTCTGGAGAAGAGAAGGTTCCTTGGTGACCTGATAATGACCTTTCTATATCTACAGAGGAGCTATAAGAAAGAAGGGGACGGACTCTTCAGTAGGATCTGTTGTGATATGATACGGGAAATGGTTACCAACTAGAAGAGGGTAGATTTAGATTGAATATAAGGAAGAATTTTTTTTACAGTAAGGGTGATGAGGCACTGGAATAGGCTGCCCAGGGATGTGGTGGGTGCCCCATCCCTGGAGACATTCAAGATAAGGCTGGACTGGCTTCTGAGCATCTGATCTAGCTGTGGATGTGTCTTTCACTGTAGGGGAGTACATAACCTTTACAGATCCCATGTATGTTTTTTGTGTGTTCTAAAGAGACTCCATTGCCTTACTGTCGCCTTTTTAAAAGATCTGTTGCCAAAGGCAGGCCATATTCTGAAAATGTTAGCGAAGTGAAGGATTAGGAGATAAAGAAGAATAAGGATTCCTTTTTTAATACGCTTATTCAGATTTTCTTCATTGTTAATGTCAGTCTTTTGACCTGGAGATTGTAACCCTTGATATCCTGTCACATAGGAATGGAATTCTATGTTTTCAATCTTTTTCTTTTCTAGGTAGTAATGTTCTAAAAAATGTCCTCAGGCACCCAGATAAAAGCAAAGGCTGCAGCACGGAAAAGCAAGACCTCCTCTCCTTTGCCATCTTCTCCAGAACCTTCAGTTAAGCCACAGCCAAAGCCCAGTGACAAGCTGAATCCCAAAACTATTGATCCAGTATGTATGGGTGGTGGGTCTTTTGTTTTATTTAAAATCATTATTTTGTTGGAAAAAAAATTCCATACTTGAAGATATGCATGCAGATAATTCTTCTGGTCCAATATTGATAATTTAAACTAAATTTTTGTTATTAATCATATATTACCTAAATTACAACCTAAATCACATTCTGGAATATTTGAGTAATAACATGTTTATTACTTTATTTTAAAAAGTTTTGATACAACTATGGCTTTAAGTAACAACTTTTTTTTTCTTTCTATGTACCTAAACATGATTTAGGACCAAAAGTCAAAGAGGTTTTTTTATTGGTTTCTTTCATATAGCTGTAAATTTTGGCACCTGGTCCTTTAGGGGAACAGATCAGAGTTATGGCTTTGATAACCCATGCCATGTTGTGCAATGAAACAAAGACTCTGGTAGTATCTTGAAGATCATCTAGATCTCGTGAAATCTAACAAACTAGTTGTTAGTGAAAAGTCAAATTGCGCGCAGAATTTTATTAGTGTTGGTGTAGTTTCAAACACTAGAAAGACAGAAATTAAGATTTCCTGGTATTTCATGCTATATAGTTTGTGACAAGTTGTTTAATCTTGAAAGTAGTGTTGAGTAATCATGCTAATAAATTATGTCATATTTTAAACTGATAGGAAGCATGTATATGATAAAAAAAATAACTTAGTGTAGGCTTTATTCACACTAAGCACTTTTCATTGCTTAGCTTAGCAGATTTTCAGTGCCCATATGCCATCTGGCTCAATGTTTGATGTTATTATTCTACATCTTGCCAACTTGTAAATTTCCATGTATACTCAGATCAGGCTGGAGTTGGAGCAGAACAACCTCTTGCATGTTACCTGCTGTTGTTGAGTAACCCCACAGCTATGTGTGAGTTCAATAGCACACAGCTGCTCACTCTTCCCAAGTGAGGTGGGTGAAGGAATTGCAGAGGGTAAAAGTGCAAGAACTTGTGAGTTAAGGTAAAGACTGTTTACTAGGTAAAACAAAAGCTGTGTGTACAATCAAAGAAAAACAAGGAATTCATTTGCTGCTTCCCATCAGCAGACAGATCTTCAGCCACTTCCAGGGAAGCAGAGCTCATCACACATAGTGATTTCTTGAGAAGACAAACACCATCATTCCAAAGTGCCCTCCTTCTTTACCCCAACTTTTATTGCCAAGCATAACACCATATGGTATGGGATATTCTTTTGAGCAATTTCAGGTCAACTATTATGGCTGTATCCCCTTCTTGTGCACCCCAGCAACTTGCTTAGCAGGGCAGTGTAAGAGGTTGAAGTCTATGGCTCTGTAAGCACTGCCATGCAACAAGTAAAGCATCAGTGTGCTATAATCAGAATTTTCATCAAAAATCCAAAGCACTTAATCATACCATCCTCTACAGAGAAAATTATCCTAGCCATGACACCTGCATATAATGACAATTAGGAAAATGAGATGTCCTTAATCTGTCAAGAGAGAACTCATAAGATTTCAGTCTTAAGATTTTCATGACAAAATAGGAAAATGGGAGCACTGCATCAGGAAAGCATGAATTCTACATTATTAGTTCATTTTTACAACTTTCTCTGCACAGAGTTCTGTAAAGCCCTTCTTTTGATAAATGTATCAAATGTGTTTTCCATCCTGTATCTGCAAATTTTTTTCAAATTATTTTTAGAATTATACAACTAAGCTTCCTTCTCAATAATTTGGAGTTTTAACATATTCAAACTTATAAACAAATAACACTTTTTTTTCTTCTTTTTCTGTGTCCTTGCAGTTTGCTGCTCCTTCTAGAACGCCTTCTGCATTTGCTGCTACGTACGCTAAAGGTGGCATTCCATGCAGGTATTTTAATTCTGTTTGCCTCCTTTTTAGTGTATGTGTTTGGGTTAGGTAGAATTACACAGATTGATAAACATCTATTCACAGCATTATACTCTTTTATTTAGGCAGTTTAATTTCTTTTCAAAGAAAGAAGTAATTTTCCGTATGTTTGATAATGGCTTGTTTTTGTTCTTTTTTTTTGCAATGTTAAAACTCTTTCCTGAAAGATGCTGATTTCTTCATATAAAGGTGCTTTCCCTAATAACACAGATAATAAAATGAGTGCCATTTTATTAAGCAAACATCTTGCAGTCTTTTTGTCTGCAGTAAGTAATATGGGCATATCTTCTTGATTATTTCAACTCTGTAATTTTCAGCAATATTAGATATTAACAGAACTACATGTAAGTGTTTTATGGGATTTGAAGTCCCTTTGTCTATTACATATTCATATACGTAATAAGCACTTTTCTCCAGTGTTTTGTGAAGTGGATGCAGAATTAGTTAGATTAATAATTACTTATTAATCATGAGCAATATATATATGTATTTACACATATTAAAGAAATCATTTATACAGGATCAACTGAAGAATTACAGTATAATTTTCTTTCAGTTTCAGCTGTTTTTTCTTATCAGTTAGTATTTGAGGGAAATGTTTATTGACAGCTATTAAAATGAATACAAAGGGAGCATCTTCTGTGTCTGTATGAAATGTGTCTATAATTCCTATAACTTTTTCTGATTTCTTTGTGGTAGGGATTAGAATTCTGAAAAATGCCATCTTGAAAACTGCAATAATTGCACTTCTACGTGCTCTTAACATTTCATTACGGAGGGCAGTATATTTTGAAGTTGTGTATACAATGGCATAATAGTCTTAAAAAACTAATGGCAATATTTCAATATGAGTAGTGTTAGAAATAAATAGTCTATTATTATATGTTAATTTGTTCCAACTTAAATTCTTTACATAGGTTAATGCATGGATCAGTAAAGCACAGACTGCACTGGGAGTGCCCTCTTGAAACAGTTCCTTTTGATCCTCTTCTTGTAACTCTGGCAGAGGTAAACTGTCTTCTTGGGAAGATAAGCATACAGTATTTATTCCATGTAGTGCTGAAATGTTACATGAATGTACTCAGCTACATTTTTAAGTCAGCTTCTGTTATTTAACTGCTATTGCAGTTGGACTTCGTGATTTATGATTTATTCTTTGAAACAAAGGATGTATAAAAATGTCTCAGAGCTACACGCTCCTAAAAGCTAAATAAGGCCAGTCTACTTCTTCATGATTTAATTAAAATAATTCTGGGAGGAACTAAGGTACTGGCAGTCTCCAAACTTAATTTCAAACACAAAGTTAAATAAGAAACTAAAAGCAAGCCCGTTCCTTTCTGACCTAAGCATTTATCTGGGATGTGGACACTCTGTGGAGAAAAAAAGTAGGATTTCAGTTCTCTCAAACACACGCAAAGTGTTCATCTTTTTTTGATCATTTGTTTTTCCAGTACATACTTTTCACATACATTACAGTCTGGAATCCAAAAAAGTCATCCAGGGGACTGTGAAAACATAACTCTTGAAGATAAGACCAATCGTATAGTCACCATATCTACATAGGACTAAATTCACTGACTGGATTTGCCTGGGACTAAGAAAGAGTAGATATGTTAGAGAGCTATTGATTCTTTGTCTTGTACCTTTTGGAAGCACTGAAATTCATAGTTCAATAGTCAGTTTTGCTGAATTCCAATTGAATTTCAGTCAAAATACATTCATTGTTGGCTTTTGTGTGCCTTTGCAGTGATCTGTATGCATAAAATGGCTGAGCTGTCATAGGCTGTTTCTACTTATTTGGAGGTCCTGACAATGTTCACTGTGTAAAAAGAAGCGCCCACCTCCAAACATCGACTGAAATCTATTGTGGGTACTATGAAGAGTAATTTAAAACCAGTGGAGCTGTGTTAGATTTTTCTCTTACTTGTTTTCTGGTTATTGAAAAGACAGCTGCTGGATTTCTGTGCTCTTTTTTCACTGCAAATGTTTTGCTATTTTTCTGCCACTAAATACGAGGGGGGATAAAAAAAAAAGTCTGTGTGTGAAAGAGGTACAGTCCTACATACAGTAACTTTTGCATAAAAGTCCTTTTACTTAGACAGAAGGGATAAAAAGCAATTGTTCCTTTCTGACCAATATAGTTGACAGACATTCCTCTGTACTATATTGTACTCCAGAGAGTTTTGCTTGTTTGTGTAGGTCACTGAAGGATGGTTTTTCCTCTTTTGACCACATGCTGCAATCTCTAATACAGATATATGTGCTTTAGCAACAGATATATCCTTTTTCTTTGGAGTCACCAGAGTCAAGTGTTGTGGAACTAGATGCTAGTGATGGGACTAGAGGGAATGGCCTCAAGTTGCGCCAGGAAGATTCAGGCTGGACAAGGAAGTACCACTTTTCCTAAAGAGTGGTCAGACACTGGAATGAGCCTCCACCAGGAAGGTGGTGGAGTCACTGGTGGTGGAGGTGTTAAAGGTATGTTTAGATGTTGTACTGAGGGACATGGTTTAGTGAGAACTATTGGTGATAGGTGGATGATTGGACTGGGTGATCTTGTAGGTCTTTACCAACCTTGGTGATTATATGATTCTCATATGCATTTCAGTTACAACATTTTAAGAACTGTTAACATCTGAAGAGGAGGAATGCTTTGATATTTCCTTTTTTCATTATAATTATCCATAACCCTAGCTAATGTAGAGATAAATGCAAAGAAAAGTAGTGTTTTAAATATTAAGAATGGATGACACTGTTGTGATTTCTTTCATCAGAAACCTATGAAGAAATGGAAATCAAAATTGTTTTTATGCTTGTGCTTTAGTATTACCTAAACTATCTTCCTCATCACATTCCAACAGCTTTACGTAGATGCTTTTCTGGCCCAGGCAGTGAGGTTGTCTCTTCCAAGATGCTTTTACCTCCTGTTATCACACAATCACAGAATGTTTGAGGTGGGAGGGGACCAATGGATCCATCTGTCCAACTCCTGCTCAAGCACGGGCACTGAGAGCAGGTTGTTCCAGTGCTGCATCATCTATACAGTGAAGTGCTTCTACTGGTTTTCAAATAGAACCTCTTCTGTTCCAGTTTCTGCCTACTGCCTCTTATCCTGGCACTGGGTACCACTGAGGATAGCATGGCTCTGTCTTCTTTTCCTCTGATGTTATACTTAATGTTAACATAGAGTAAATCTTTGACCAATAATACATGCTATTAACTGTAGCAGAAGTCACTTTGGGTCTTCTAAGAATCACTTAAGACACACGTGTCCAACTCTTGGGACCCATGTGGCCCAGCACAGCTCACACTGTGGCCAGCCTCTGTCCCGTGCCATCACAGCAGTGACTCTGCCCCATCTGTTGCCATCTGTCACGCGTCAAAAAAGTGTAAGGGAATATTAGTTTAGTGGTAAGGTCCAGTTTCTACTGCCTTACCACCAACATCCACCTCTGACATTGTGGGCAGCATAATGAGATAGGAGACATTTCTTTCAGAGCAGGCCTTGTAATATGTTTACTGAGAGATTTTGGACTTACCTTCCTTCAAGGCATTCTGAACTATTTGGATTGACTTTGTTTTGTCTATATATGGATTTGGGAAGAAATACAGGCACATTTAACATTATTGAAATTTTCTCAACATTATTAAAGGCTAGAAACATTAATATAGCATAGTATCTATATGTAAAAGGTTAGCGGCTAATCGCAGGAGATTGCATCTAAATCTGAAGTGTATTCAGTGTACCATACATTATCATTGACAGTGTGATAGATAATCAGTTTTAAACCTTTTGTTGATCTTAGTTTTTATAGTTACCTATATTGTGCTTCTTAAATCATCAGCATAGTTCGGCATAGAAACTGTCACAACTGTACACGTGTGCTTGCTACTCAGGCTTCAGATTGCTCTTGGAGATGGCTCTTCACAGAAGTGAGAACTTGCTGGATAGCTTTCTGTTTAATATAAATGCTGATTCTTTAGGACTTTATGTTAATAGTATCAGGTGCTGCTATATTATTTTGTATATGTGTGTTGTGAGCACTAGTTTGTATTCAGCGGTATAAAGCAGTGGCTTTTTTGGAGCTCTGTGCTCATCAAAAAGCTAGATTTTTATCTGTTACATGAGTTAACTCTTTAAGTTGAGCTGGATGTGTTTGCAGTTTCTGATCCATACTTGAGAGTCACTGAATTAGTCAGACTTCCTTACAGGTGGAAAGTTCAGCTAAGAAATTATTAAGGGTCTGATGATTTACTGACAGTTACTTAGCTGCAGCAGTGATTTAATATTCATTACGTATTCCTTGTTAAGCTACAAATTGGCACTTAGGACAAGGAAGGGAAGTGTTCTAAAACGGCAGTTTACCAGTAAGTATATCTTGCTCAGATAAGAGTAAAAATGAATACTTGTTCTGAAGGTAATCCTACAACCTCAATCATCTGATTATTATTTTTAAGAAATCTTAATACTGACCAGAAATCTGTAGGGATTTCCTCTCCCTGAAGTACAGGGGTACAAAAAGTACAAGGCACTTTGTTGACTAGCCCTTAAGGAAGTGGAGCTAGGTAATTACTTCACATACTTAGTGAAAGTTGCCTTTAGTGTGCTATGAAAAAAATGAACCCTTGCATTTTATAATATAATCTGTTTAAGTTGCAAATAATATTTCAAAACCAGCTAAACTAGCCAAAATTTCCATATATTAGGAAGAGCAACGTGAAGATCTTGTGTGCATTGATGATCCTTGAGGTCCCTTTCAGCCCAAGTCATTCTATGAAGACAGTCAAGAATACTGCCACTTCTAATTCTTTAGTCAAAGCATTTTGGAAGAGCTAGGTAGTTGTACCTAATCATTGAGCTATTGTCCACATACAAGACTGCCTTGAACAAAATACTTTGATTCATTTGTAAGTTTGGAGGTTCTTTTATAAACAACTGATTATGTTTTGGGTATATAAAACCCACCTGTTAAATTAAGAGTGCCCTTGCTAATAGATTGAATTAATACAGTGGAAATATGCTTCTTTAAATAAGTTACAGAAAATAAACACTGTTTATAATGTTCACACTCCTATATTTCATCAGCATCGTTTGTAGCCAGATATGTTTCTGGAGTCTTAATAGAAGTTGAATATAGTGCATTCTGTAGAGCAGGCTTTTATTTTCATAGAATCCTAGAATGGCCTTTGTTAAAAAGAACCTCGAAGATCATCTAGTTTCAAACCCCCTGCCATGGGTAGGATTGCCAATCACTAGACCAGGCTGCTCAGTGCCACATCCAGCCTGGCCTTGAATGCCTCCAGAGCATTCAGTTCCTTTCAAAGATTAAACAAGCTGTCAATACCTAAAGTAGCTTGCAGCTCCTGTTAAGGAAAGAAGAAACTTCCACCATACAACTTTAGTCTTTGAGTTCTGCTGCTTAGGTCATCGTGCATATTTGTACCATTCACCAGTTTTTGCAGTTGCTGGGGGTGCTGTCTTTCCTACCATTGTTCACCTTCTATTTAATTTTCCCCCACGGTATGGAAATTATTTACAAATATAACCTGACCTTCTGTTGATGGCCTTGTTGAAAAATTCCTCCGGGTAGGTAGATTAAAGATAATGAAGTACAAATAATGATTAAAATATCAATATTCATAACATAGGTTTTAATATTAATTGTTTCAAAAGAAAAATGAATATTTTGTGATTGGAGTTGTACTCAGTGGATCCACATGGTGGAGTTAGTGTATTTTATGTTTTGAATTGATGTAAGAGAATCTAAACGCTGTCTTTACATTATGTGGAACTTTTAAAATGATGTTTTGTTTAAAAGAATAACTTTTAAGAGAATATATTTTACATTTGCACCAGGGTCTGAGAGAGACAAAGCATCCCTATACATTTGTTTCAAAAGAGGGTTTTAAAGAATTACTTCTGGTTGAAGGTGCTACTGAAAAAGCCATTCCCCTGTTGCCTCGTCTAGTTCCTGTGTTAAAGGCAGCATTGGTATGTCTTACTCTTCTTGCAGAGATTTTCATAGATACTTTTTTATTTTTATTTATTTTTTTAGAATTAGAAGAATTATTTTTGTCTGTTCTTCCAGTCACTGTTATTAATCTGATAGTGGGAGCAGTAGAGATGACAAAACACTGTGGAAGTAGGTAAGAGCGTGATGGTTGCTGGCAGGTGACAAAGCTGTAGTTGGCAGGGCTAAATTCATTGAGCCAGAAAGTCGTTGGTTCCTGTGTTTCTCTAACAAAGATTATTATTGCTATGAATTAATTAAGAATTACTCTGAGTTCATTACATTTTCAACTAAAGTGTTGGTTCCCAATTTTGATATATCCACATTTTTAAAACGTTCTTCCTAATAAGCTGTGCAGCACTGTACACAGGATACGTTTCAAAAGTGAAATATTAGATATAGTTTTGCTTGCTGAATGTATTTACTTGCATATCGAGCATAAATTAGCAGCTTCCTTTTTTGTTTTTCTTTTTTAATTACGTGCCGTAATTTCACAGACAAATTGTGGAGGCTTTTGTTTTCTACTTTCTATTAAAAAAAAACCTGCATTTAATTATTAAATCTAGACAATATTCAGTTGCATTATATTTCTGAACTGTTTATAACTTTATAAAAATAAGTGGTTTTCCAGTAGTTTTAGTTTACTAAATGTACAATAATAAAAATGCAATCATAAAATAGAGACTGCATTTTTGAAGTTTGTGCACTTGTCTGAATATTTGACAGGATTTGTTTTCCTTCCCTCAAAGGCCCATTCAGATGATGGAGTATTTGAAAGGGGATTAGATGCTTTAGTTCAACTGAGTGCTGTTGTTGGCCCATCTCTTAACGACCATCTTAAGCATCTGCTTACAAATGTAAGTTTTAATGCTGTAGTAAGAGATTATATGTATTTTTGTGGTACTTTTGTTGAGAGGTTTACTGTAATATCTGCACAGACAACACTGGAAGACTCAGCAGTTCCATGAAAAGCATTAGTTCATATATTTCTCTGTGCAAGTCCATCATTCCTGAAGAGTATAGTGACTTCAAAAGTTTGAACTGTGCAAAACCTCTTGTTAATGTAAATTTGAGAATAATTGTTTTCTGTTTTAAAAAGGATCCAACTTTTTGAGCCTGAGGTGAAATAGGTGGTATGTTTTGAAACAATATTTATGTTTATTGCTAAATGAGTTTTGCACTTCAAATGTGAACGTTTTCAAAAATCTGTGAAAGTATCAATAAATTATCACAGGAAAATATTTCTACTTCTTTCAGATGGGAATTCTGCACATGGAAGTTTTATTAAGTAAACTTCAAGTTGAATTGGGGAATGTATTTTTATACTGAATCCTTTTGTAGACTTCCTCTGTAGACTTCCATCCTCTATCAGACAGACATGGGTTAATTTAGCTTTCTTCCAAATTGAATTTTTGCAGCAAATTAAAAGGAAGAGAGACTCTGCAATAATTTTTTTAAAGTATTTTCACTATACGAAATCCCTTTCGGTACACATGAAAAGCATGTTAACTTTTCATGTGGATATCACTTCAAGAATGACTTTGTATTGATTGATTCCTCTTCCAAATCTGTTTGCTAGAAGAAAAAATTTTAAACTGTTTGGCTAACAGATGAGAAACGTAAGTAAAGTAAAGTTCAACAGTTAACATTTCACTCCTTCTGCCTTGACTGAGATCCATAGTTTGACATCAGCTACAAGTTAGAAAATGATGTTTCTTTTGGCTCACATTTCCCAAAGAAAAGAGAATGGGCTACAAACCTCCTTATTTTACTTTTTCAATAGCTTTCAAGGAGATTAATGGACAAGAAATTTAGAGAAAAAATCACTGTTGCTTTACAAATGTTGGAGCAATATGGTGGAAAGGTGAGTTGACCAGACAATACTATGTAAACTTCACACTTTAATGCATCTTTGCCAAGATAACTTCCATATCTGGCTATCAGATTAATAACCCTGTTCGGAGAAGTACTTATTTTAACATGTCACAGCTATTCATATTGTATAAAACAGGATTTTTTTAAAATTAAACTGTGGCAATTCTAGTCCACTGTAAAAATAAATAAATAAATAAATAAATAAATAATAGTTGTTTTAGTCCTTTTGAGGTATTAAGCGATGATAGAAATGACCTTAAATCTACACTGTGTGAAGCATAATCTGCTGGTTAGCTTCTGTTGTTTCCCATTTTTTATTTCTCTTTTATTTGTCTTCACCATTATTTTAATCTCAGAGCAGGAAACACAGGAGAGTGTTTCAGTAAAATACTCCAGGGTATCGATAGCTACATCAGAAACTGAGTGGCCATACTCAAACAGTGCATCAATCCTCATTTGAAAAACTCTTTTCCAGAGTCAGCATCCATCCATGTGGATCCTTACCAATCTTATTTTCTTGGAAGATTTTATTCTTCTTGGTGGGAAGTTTATGCATCCTTTGTGGTTAAATAAGTCACTCTCTGTTCTTTCTTTTGAATTCTTCACTTTTCTGGAAAGTCTTTTTCCAGGGTTTAGAATGGGTGTGGAGTGGGTTAATATCCAGGATGCTTTATATGAGTCCTTATCCAAGTTAGGCACTGCAGCATTTACGAAGTAGATTTTCACGCTGAGTTAAGCACAAGGGCTTCTTGTACAGTAGGGTAGATACCTGTGAAGAGTGATCCATGTATTCACCAAATGTTAAATGCAAATTGCTCCTGGCCCCTTTTGACACCTGACTCAGGCTGAATATTTGCCTTCCTTCAGTGCACCCGGCATGAAGGCTTTGTGTTCCTTTTTCTGAGCCTAAGTGCTTTCCTCAGCACTCTTTTAGCTCTTATTAAAAGAAACAATTTGCTGTTATTGATGATGCCTGCCCATTCCCTAATAGCTTAGTAGTTAGGTCACTTACTAAGAAAATCAGATGCTCACATTTTAGCCCATCTTGATTAACTCAGAGGTTAAGATCCTCAGTTGCTACACGTTAAAAACAAAAAAGAAACAAAAAAAAAACAAAACAAAAAAAACCCCAAAAACTTAAATAGTAAAGTACAGAGGAGTATTATAGTGCTAAACATTCTGTTCCCAACTTTTCGTGTGCTATTCATTGTTCATCGAGAAGGAGAGAAGAAAAAGTGAGAAAACATTTGCTCGGATGTTCATCTAGAATTGAAAGTATTTGTTCTAATGACCCCACGAGCAGTTGCATGTATGATACTGAATGACTGTTGATAAAGAACAGAAATAATGTGAAGGGTAGGAACCCTAAATGTAGGTCTTAATGTTTCTGAGCCTTTTTTTCTTAATAAGTAACCATATAATCAATAGGCAGTAGCTCATTTTTAGGGGTACTCATATTCATTTAAAGGCGATAGGAATGTTCATATTGCAGACTGTATGATCATCACAGAGCAGCATGAAAGTTCCTGATTTGTGTTCATGAGATGAGAAGAGGAAAATTACACTTCATTTTGATGTTCTGAGAATTTAAGTCTAGATAATAGAGCTGATCCAGTAAATCATTAAGCCACCTCTAATTATTATCTCTGTCCAGTAATATATTGTTGCCAGATTACTATGTGGTCTTTCTGCATATTTTTTAAAATTCTTTAAGGGAAAAAGACAAAAAAACTGGAAAGAAGCACCTAAGTTGTGATCACAGTCAATGACATTACAAAGTACAACTAATGAATCTATCAGCTATTAGAAAATGAGTTACAATGGATATGATCCGTACCTTTATTGGAAATCTCTTCCAGAATATCACTCTCCTTCATTAGTTATCACAATGTTGCTATTTTTTTCAGTCCACTATTTTCAACTCTTTTGAAAGTAAATTTCTTAGTAAATAATACATTTTGTTTCATAGCAGTAAAGACAACTAAAAGTTTTGAATTATACAGTTTATAGACATGATGTGAATACTCTCAAATGTAGTGCTAGTGCGCCTTACTTTGTTTAAATGCATTCTATTTTCATCATCAGGCAACTGTGACAATCATCAAATCTAAAATTCCAACCTATTGTTCTGTATTTCCCTGAACAAAAAATCCATAGTGATTTGTGAGTTCAAGTCTGAAGATAAACTGCCTGTGAACATCACTTTGTGGTATGCTATATTCTCTTAAATTAATCACAGTTCTTTTTCAGTATAATGGAGAGTGGGAAAAGTCCCATAAGTTTGTGAATATATGATTATGAAAGACTCTATTAATTCTCTGTTGGCTGCTATTTGTGTATGCATTGTGCTTACAAAGACATTGGATATTATTTCAAAAGCAGAGTAAATATAAATTCATATTTTGTTATAAATTACAACTTCCATTAATAGATCTGCATAATATGTTTTGTATATTTGTGGAACACAGAATAATTAGGCTTCAATTACTTAAATGGCAATTAACTTTGTGTTAAATTACATACACTTTTGAAACATTTAACTTATTCTGTGCCACAGGCACACATGGACACAGTTCTGGTTCTTCAGGACTTAGTGGATTAGACACAGAACTGTAAGAGCCCACCTAGACTTTTTTGTGAGTCAGCTTTTGAAGGTATGAAGCTGAACATACCATACACGTAGCAAACAGGGAACTTGCTCAGGGTCTGCCCAGCATATTGTTGTCAGAAGCCAGAGCAGCATTTGTCCATTATTGTAATTGAGTTTGATTGCAAAATGTTGTTCAGCAGGTCTTATTAAATAATAGTTGATCATGTGAAAACAATTTCAGAATATTAAGAAGATTATTGCTGGCTGGCTAAAATAATTTAATTCAGAACAGTTCTAAGTCAATATATATGTATTTAAGCTTTTTCAAATAAATAAATTTTGTTGGCAGAAATCTTATATCTTAAGAAATAGAACTATTTCGTTAACAATACAAAAAATGCTTATGCTGTTTGTTTTTCTTTGTTTACTTTATTTCTTATATTATTTTTTTACAAAATGTGCACACTTAGTTTACACAAACACTCTACAGCAAATTTCAGGTGTACATGTATTGTACTACTCTTATCCTACACTGGTGATAGCAGAGCAGCCTTCAGCATGCCTCTAACATCCCATCTCTACACCAGAATAGATACCTGATTTTTTCTTGCAAAAGAATGATTACAACATTCTTTCTACATCATTAATCCCATTTCACATTTTCTGCAGCAATGTTACAATGAAGATCAGCCTATCTCTGAAAGCATTTCACCTATTGGGAGGTATTGGCATAAAACTCTGGACAATATATCTTAAAAATTACATGTATTGGAAGGGGCATTAGTATATTTTAGGTACATACATTTTTATCTAGGTTCATAATTAGGTTTCTCCAATCTTAATGAAGAAATTATCCTAAAAAATTTAATGCACTTATCACATGTATATAATATTGTATAGTTGAAGCTTTATTTTTTCATCCTGAATCTTAAAGATACTACAAAAATGCTGACACAGATGTTAGCTCGTCTAGTAGTCATTAGATGTTACTGCCTAGTGATATTCATTCTGCACTGAAAAGGGATGAAAATTTTAAAATAACTTTTTTTTTTTTTTTACTTTATTAAAGGCAACAAGACACATACTCATGGGAACAGTGGTAGGAACTAGCTAATTTTTCTTCATAAAAAAATTCAAATTCAGAAGATTCTTAATTTTAAGCAAAGAACTTTTGGTTTACGTGTCCAAGAAGAATTAGAAGTAGTATGTAGAACATCTTGATATTTCTGTCATGATAAATTAAATGCAGATTTACTAGATAAGCATGCTTGATAGAAGCTTACCAGTATTTGTTAGGGAACAGAACTACTGAAACAGTCATAATTTAAATGCATTTGTTGTTTAACACTTCTTCCTCTCAAGTTACCTATTTTACTAGGTTTGGGAGGTGTTTCTGAAGAGGACAGAAGCAAGTCAAATGTGAAAGGCAGCTGCTGCAAGCTGTGCACTGGACATCAATGATCGCACTTTAACTCAAAGTATTAATTAAAAATGTGAGGACTACACCATACAACCATGAAAAAAAATACATGGTAATACATCTCTGTAAATTAGAAGCTGAGACTTAATAGTATGCTCAAACACCCCGAGCTGAATTCAGTACAAATGTGTAACAAAACTAAGAGTATTTAATTTCCTTGTTTGATTACATCTGTTTTATCTAAGGTTTGGAATGATAATAAAGATGCACGTCAGGTTCTGTTTTGAGGGGTTTGAAATAAAACACTGACTTCTCAGAACAATCTTGCGAAGTAGCCACTGCTGAAATACTAAAATGTATAATTTTGAAAGATTTAGGGAGAAAACTTTAATTAAAAAAAGAAGACTTATTTGCATATTGCATGTCTCAGTATAAAGCTGAGTAACTTTATTTATGGTAAAGTGGGAAATCCATCTTTTAGATTATGTTGCAGAATTGCTTATATTTGTCCATTAGTTGTTGACCTAATGCCTTCATTAAATCACATTTTCAAAGAGCTGCATGGACCGCATTATATTTTCATCCTGTGAAAAACAAACACACAAAACAAACATGAAAATCATACACCATTACAAATATAGTTGGCAAATATCTATAGTGAAATTAGGTGGGACAAACTGTACACATGTAATGAGAAGACCTGTTTTTCAGCTTGTTTGGAGAAACTGTTAGCAGAAAAAAAGTGTTTAATGGATATACTCCTAATTTTGGAATTGCGGAGATTGGAAGGGACCTCAGGAGATCATCGAGTCCAACCCTGCTGCTAAATCAGGTACCCTACACTAGATCGGATAGGTAGAAGTCCAACTGGGACTTGAATATCTTTATATACTATGCAGCCTTTCAGGGTAATCTGTTCCAATGCTCTATCACCCTTAGCATAAGGAAGTTCTGCCTGTTAGTAAGAAACTTCCTGTCATAGTTTTATGATTTTTGGTTGTCAGTATTCCACATCATAACATCATGTAGTGCACTGGGCGTTAAAGTGTTAATGCTCCAGTTCTGGGCACCTGTCTGGAAGAGAAGAACTACACACCCCAGAACACTTTGTGTTCAGAGAGGAGATATAACCCCTGGCAAGGTCACCTGATGTCCCTTTCTTTTTTTGGCTCTCCTGTCTCCTGCTCGACCCAACTGCGCATCTCACCTCACATTATGGTGAGGCCATTTTAGACACTCTCTCTCAATATATTTTTTAGTTTCAATTCTAGTTATATTGTATTGTAGTGTGTTATCTTGCGTTCTGATACCATATTTAGTAAATCAGTTTGTTTCTCCTCAGATCGTTGCTGCTGTTTTTAATTATTTGGGTTCCCCTGTTTCCCCTTTCCAGAGGTGCAGATCTGTGGGTCGCTCTGCCCCCACTGGTCACAAAATTGGGCTGAACCAGCCCGTAAACTGTTGACACTTCCTATGTTCAAGTTTTAGGCCATTAGTCCTTGTTGCATTGCTACACACCACTGAGAAGAGCCTGACCTCATCCATTTGCCTCCCACCTCCCTTTTCATACTTCTTATAAAAATTAATCAGGAGGTGAGCACAGCTGCCCATGTGGTGCTGCAGCTGTGGGTGTGGGAGGTGGGTCGAGTGGTGAGGACTGTAAGTATTGTCCCTCCTTACTCAGGAGACCAGCTTTCCTCTTGGCAGTCTCTGAGACTGCAGGTCTAAACATGGTCTCCACCAGACAGCGAGATTATTCTGAGAAGACCCTGGGGACCCAGGTGGAGGGCCTGCCCAGAAATATAGCTGTTCAAATCTCCGTCTGCAGGGAGTGCTTGATCCTGCTGCTGCCTGGGGAGGGTGGCAGGGATTCTACCTGTGTGAGGTGTGAGCAGGTGGATGAGCTGCTCAGCCTGGTGGTGGAGCTCAAGGAAGAGGTGCAGACACTAAGGACCATCAGAGAATATGAGCAGGAGATTGACTGCTGGAGTGACTCGCTGGCATGCCAGAGGGAAGGGTGCCAGGAAGATACCCCCAGAAAAATCGTTGACCCCCTGCCCTGTCACAGTCAGACAGACTTGACTGATGAGGAAGGTTGGAACAGAGTCCTGACTCTTGGGAACAGAGCTCCTGCCTGCCTACCTAGCCCACTTCCCCTGCTCCCTCTAATCAACAGGTTTAGACACCGGAAATTGAAAGGGAGGTGAGTGGTGAGGCAATGGAAGATCTGCCTAGGTGGGAGCTTAAGGCGAGGCGGTCATCCCCATGCCTAGTGACTGCCTCTGTCAGGAAAGAAAGAAAGGTGGTCATGGTGGGTGGCACCCTTCTCAGAGGAACGGAGGGCCCCATATGCAGACAGGACCCAAGCCATCAGGAAGTGTGCTGCCTTCCTGGCACCCGGGTCAGAGACATTACCAGGAAACTGTCAAAGCTGGTTAGGTCCACTGATTATTTTCCATTACTCATAGTTCAGGTGGGCAGTGATGAAATTGCTTAGAGAAGCCTACAAACTATGAAAAGAGATTTCAGGGGTTTAGGGCGTTTAGTTCAAGGAGCGGGAGCTCAAGTGATCTTTTGTTCTATACCTTCAGGGGCAGTGAAGAACATGGAGCGGGCTTGGAAAGCACAAGCAATGAATAATTGTCTCAGAGGCTGATGTTGAAGCAAAAACTTTGGGTTCTTTGATCATGAAGCAGTTTACTCAGCCCCTGGCCTGTTTTCCATCCATGGAACGCACCTATCTCATAGGGGGCAATGTATCCTAGCACAGGAGTTAGTGGAGCTTATCAAAAGAGCTTTAAACTAGCTACAACAGGGGAAGGGGATAAAACAGGGCTCACAAGCGATGAGCCTACGCATCACCCCAAGCTGGGGGTGAGGCAGATGACAGAGGTCTACACCAATGCACACAGCACGGGCAACAAGCAGGAAGATTTGGAAGCAATTGTGCATCAGCCCTAGTTGCTATTACGGAAACATAGTGGGACCACTCTTGTGACTGGAGTGCTGTAATGGATGGCTACAAGCTCTTCAGGAAGAAAGTGTGGTAGTGTGGCCCTTTATATTAAAGACTGTTTTAATGTTGAAGAGCTTGGGGTTGGGATTGATAAAGTTGAGTGTCTATGGGTAAGGATCAGGAGTGAAGGTCTGTAGGGGCAACATCTTGGTGGGGGTCTGTTATAGACTGCCTAATCAGGATGAAGCAATGCAACAGGCATTCTGTGAGTATCTTGCAGAAGTCGAGCGATCGCCAGCACTCATTCTTGTGGAAGACTTCAACTTCCCCCATAGATGTTGGAAATATAATACAGCACAGAGAAGGCAGTCTAAGAGGTTTCTAGAGTGTGTGGAAGAAAGCTTCCTTACGCACCTGGTACAAGAGCCTACCAGAGGTGGTGCCCTGCTAGACCTGCTCTTCACTAACAGAGAAGGACTGGTGGGAGATGTGAAGGTTGGGGACTGTCTTGGGCAGAGCAACTATGAAATTGTAGAATTATCTATTCTTGGTGATGTCAGAAGGGTGACTAGCAAAACTGCTATCTTGAACTTCAAGAAGGTGGACTTTGACCTGTTCAGGATGCTTGTAGCATTGGTCCCTTGGGAGTCGCTCCTCAAGGGTGAAGGGGTCCAGGAAGCCCGGATGCTTCTCAAGGTGGAAATCTTAAAGGCACAAGAACATACTGTTCCTGAATGCCGCAGGCGTTCACTCGTAAGGCAAGCCATAGGGGAAGAAGACTGGTGTGGACAAACTGGGAAGTATTGTTGAGACTCCAGAAAAAAAAGAGAGTCTATGTCCTCTGGAAGAAGGGACAGGCTACTTGAGGAGATTACAAGGAAGTTGCTAAGATATGCAGGGAGAAAGTTAGGAGGGCAAAAGCCCAACTTGAACTCAGATTTGCCACTACAGTAAAGGAGAATTAAGAAATCTTTTTACAAATATATTACTGGTAAGAGAAGAACCATCCTTTACTTGATGCAGGAGGGACCACTTAGGATAAGGAGAAAGCTAAGGTCTTCAACGCCTTCTTTACATCTGCCTTTAAGAGGCAGATCAGTTATCCTCAGGGCACTTTACGCCCTGATCTGGAAGTCTGGGATGCTACGCAGAATACACCCCCAGTGATTCAGGTGGAGACTGTTAGAGAGCTCCTCCTCCATCTGGACTGTCACAAGTCCATGGGACCAGATGGGCTTCATCCTAGGGTGCTGAGGGAGCTGGCAGGGGCGATTGCCAAGCCGCTCTCGGCCATCTACCAGTGCTCCTGATTATCTGGAGAGGTCCCAGAGGATTGGAGGCTTGCCCATGTGACTCCCATCTACATGAAGGGCCGTAAGGAGTATCCGGGCAACTACAGGCCTGTCAGTCTGATGTAGTCTACCTAGACTTCAGCAAAGCCTTTGACGTGGTCTCTCACAGTATTCTTCTGGGAAAACTGGCTGCCCATGGCATGGACAGGTATACCCTTCTTTGGGTAAGGATCTGGCAGGGATCAAGGGCTTAATGACTGTGAAGAGGAAAGGGACCTGGGAGTGTCAGTTGATGCTCTGGAATGGCCTGCCCAGGAAGGTGGTGGAGTCACCATCCCTGACAGCATTCAAGAGACGGCTGGATGAGGAGCTGCTAGATATGGGTTAGTAGCTTGTGGTAGCAATGGAAATGGCAGGACAGTTGGACTAGATGATCTTGTAGGTCCTTTACAACCTTGTGATTCTATGTTTCTATGATTCACTTAATACTTAGCCAGTAAATAATCTAGCCACCTTTAATTGAAATGAGTAAGACTTGACTGTTTTAGGAAGTCTCACTAAAGCAGTGCAAGGAAAAAAAAAAAAAACCAACAAAACAACAGTTCTCAGATTATCATAGTGTTCTCTTCTGAACTGATATTCAGGCCTTCCAGTAACACATGACTAGTTAGAAATTAAAGTTAAAATTATTCACAATTCAGTCCAATGTCTGATGTGTTTTAGGGACAACAACAACTTTGAGTAATTTTCTCTAATTATGTTAGTAATTTATGTTATCTGTTCTTCAAAATGCTGCTATATTATGTAACGCCCAACTTAGGCCACTTTCCTTCACACCAAGCAGCCAAAGGATAGAGGAGAAAGAACTGGATAGGATTGAGAGAAAACACTTCTGCTGTCTCTACTTTTTCCATGAGGAAAGATAAGTTCTTATACTTGGTGACCAGACAAGACCATACTCAATGAAGACTGAGTGCTCTGTAGTTTCTTACATAACACCTTAATATTTACTTTGTGAAGGTAAAGGCCATCCTTTGCACAGGGACTATGAATTCAGAGTCCTGAACTAGATATATTCCCTAGACTGTACAGCGCTACCACAATGATAGTTGTGCCAAACAAGTACTCAGCACAAAGAGGGGATTTTAAAAGAGACAGTTATGTATGTATTTAAGAACACAGAGGCCCTTGATCTACCAAATAATCTACCTTGATACCAAAGAAATAAATAAATCACAGCAATTAAAAGTGAGCTTCTGTGATAGTTATTGCTTTTTAAGCATGCCACACTATAAGATACTCACAGAAGTGATCTTAGCTTTAGAGTTTGGTTGAGAGTGTTTTGCAGTGCTTGTTTCCTTGCACTGTTTTGACTCTCATCTTGCAGTCTGGAATAGAATGTAGGGAATGGTGAACATTTCCTGTACGCCTCTAGTATATTTTCATATGCACCAGATGCATCTCTGGCTGCCACGTTCATCAATGGGCATCCCATTCCAAGGTTTGAGGTAGAATTATTTGTTATGCAAAACCAGCAAGGAATGTTTTAAGCAGACGTGCTCTAATATCAGCTTGTATACAAAAGGATGGCTTGTAGATGAGGAAACAAAGACAGACATCAAAGTCTAGGGAACTGCAAGCATGCTATGACCCTGTCCTGACTCAGAAACAAAAGATTCTGGTAAGAAAAAGATAGTATTAGAACTAGCAGTACTCTGTGCAGAGTGATGAGGATAGCTAAAAGCGTGGACTGGTTTCCTCAGCAGGGAAAATTGAACTAAAGTGAGTATTTTGCAGCTTGGAAAAGAGAGATGGAAAGAAGGGTCATAATGATGTATGCTGTTTTTCCATAGCACAGGAGCATACAGAAGGACTATTAAAAAAAGACTAAAAACACTGCATGTCAGGATCAAAACAGATGAGTTCACTACAGAAAAGATTACAGAATTATTTAGCTTTGTTTTAGGTACTGTTATACACTCATGAAGGATGATACTTCTCACTCTGGAGTGATGCATGAGAAAAGAAAGGAAGTTTAACATTATCTTTCTAGATCAGTCTCGTACCTACTAATTTATTAAACATTTTCTTACAGTGTATTTTAAAAGGAAGAGGCCACTACTGTCCTTTGGAAGAAGTGTAATCCTGAAAAAGTTGAAGCCCCATTAACAGAGCACAGCTCCTGAAGGAATTTTCTTGAAGGACTCAGGCTGAATTAAAAACCCCAATCTCATTTCTGAAACTAAATCCTGACACAAATATGAATTAAACACTTTGCAGCTCAGAGCTGTTAAAAGAAAGGTCTTAGTAAGTCTAAAGACAAAAAACGTGGGCAGCAACATTTATTTTGTATGTCATCATTTGGATTCCACATCAAGCAGAGCAACAAGATGACCTGCTCTCTAAGATGAGAGAATGGTGTCTGTCACGTTGTGAGAGAGATGCCCTATAAATCACTTATTTTGAATACTCAGAAGAGCTAAATAAGAAATCTACTAACAGAAGTGAGAAACTGAATCACTTTGGAAAAAGGAGAACAGGCAACTCTTTACTGAAGGTACTAATTTTCTTTGTAAATGAAGCAATCCACCTATTACTATAATCAGTATATTCCAGTAAGTCTTTCATGTAACTTCTAGAACTCTGTAGACCTCAGCTGGGAGATGAACCTCATCTCTGTTTCAGATAATCCGTGTTAGCAGAGCAAATACCTGTCATTCATATTGAGTAAGACTGACAAGCTAGAACCACCATCAGTGTGATACAACACTGCTGACAGATAGGACACTACCCAGTACTCATTGCTAAGGATACATAGGACAATCAAATTAGAACTGTTTTTTTTTTTTTGTTTGTTTGTTTTATACGCTGAAGTAAAAAGACTCAATAAGTGACCACTAAGTGGTTGTGACCTCTCTGTATTTTGCTACTTTTAAATCACAAGAGCAATCCCAAGAATATATAAAACAATACACTAGCATTCTAGCATGTCTGTGCTATTTTCAGTTCTGCTTTCCATATTCCAAATCACTATAAATTTATCACTCACTAACTGCGCTGTTCTTTCCTGTCTCTCATCTACTGTTCACTTCTTGGTGTCAGAATACAACGCACACAAGAAGCAAAGCACACAGTCCATACTGCTGATCTCTTGACAGCTTCACAGTAATCAGACATCCTGGGAAGGCTGACATTGCATCCAAACATAACTACAATTCCTTATATTTTTCACTGCAACAAATAGCATTGGTTTTGAATCGCCTTATCAATTTGCATAGTGTAATCAAGCCCACCTTATCACAAGGTGTAATGCAACATTTTGCAGTATGTAACAACATAACCTCTTACCACACCAATAGTTGGTACCATTATTTTGTATTTTCTTTTTCTTGCATTCTTCACCTTATGTACTAATGGTATCTCCTTAAAATTCTGAAAATGCATTTTTTCCTCACATTGGCTCCTGGTATGAAAGCAAGTTAGTTCCCAAGGGCAGAGGAGTGAAAACAGGCTGTAGTTCTTGCTGCATGTCAACTTTCAATCCTGGCTCAAAATGCAGGGAGCTGCTTTCAGCAGTTGAAGGAAATTAACAGCCACCTAGACAATGTAAACACTTGTAACTGCTAATCACAATCTGTTCTTACTGGCTTGCCTTGAGAAAAAAGAAAAAAAAAAAAAAAAGAAAAAAAAAGAAAAACAAAAACAAAAACACTTGCCTGCTGTTAACTCCTGCCATTCAACGATTTGCAAGCTGCTTCCACTCTCCCTAAAACTTACTGCTCAGGGAACACTCTTACATGTGATAATTTTTCAAGTAATATATGGCTGTGACTGTATGCTGATTTTATCAGGAGTGTTACCCAGCACTATCAGAAGACATAAATATTTAGCTGAATGCAAAAAAACTTTTCACTATTAAGTATGAATGAAATGCTATTCTGCTGTCACTTCAAAAAATAAAATAAAATCAGTGTATGATAGCAGTAGCCAGCTGATATGGATTCAACATATCACTGGTTGCTTACCTTCTGGCAGCTCTCAATGAATTCATCTATGGTAACTACTCCATCTTTGTTTTTATCCATTTTCTGTTCAGAAAGAACAGAAATGTATGATTACACTCCTGAAATCTACTTTAAAAAGTCATTTTTAATATTCATTTCATTTACACATTGGCCTAGGGAACAACTAAGCCAAAATGCTACAACTATGTAGGAAATAATACACTAGCTTGAAGAGCTTGTTGAAAAGGCAACACGTGGCGAGTAGATCTGAGAGACAAGTGCCTTGGGATGAACCATGGAGGAGAATAACAAAACTGATAGGATATGCAAAACTATTTCAACAATGAAAGAAATCTTTCTACAGCTGCAAATGGAGCAGTCTTTTTGGTTCCCTTTGTTACCTGACCCACCTGAAAAAAGGTTTCCACATGTTGTCTAGGTGTGTCCTCCTTGAGAACAGGATAAGTGCATTTCCCCATCATATCATATATTGCTTTCATGATATCAAGCATTTCCTGAAGAGAAAAAAAAAATGCGCAATTCAGTGTGCATCATATATTGTGCTTTGATTCAGAAAACATAATTAATTTCTATGATCAGCATTTTAGAGAAAAAAATTACATTGTTATTTAGTGATTGAACAGCTTCAAGAATGTACTGAATTCCCTAGGAATTCTAGCACATTGGCTTGGCTTTCATTACTCGTTCAATATATGCAGATGAATGTTTCTGATTTTAAATACTTTAAGTGATTCAGAATACGTGCACATTCACTGTGGGAAGAGTCTCCTAAAATCTAATGCATAAGTAAACAGAAAAAGAATTCCATAGCAGCAGGTTAACACAAGACCTTCATACAACTGAGTTTTCAAGAGAAAGAAGAAATACCCACACACAAACTTGCACACTTGCAATGAGTTTTCCATTTTTATCAAAAGCTTTGGATTTTGTTAATAGTAGGAGTTACAAAAAACGTAAGAATAATTATAGATGTAAGTCATCTGCTGTACTCTGTACATACATGTTTCTGTACATACATAAGTTCGTGATTTTTTTTTTTCCTTTTTCAATTTTGATATATGCCTTAAAATGAGAAAAAAATAGTACATTTAGTTTCATAATATGTTATACATTATTCCTTGACAGGTCTGATTTGACAGAGGTTCTTCTGACCCCATTCTTCTTTCAAAGCAAGACTTCTGTATACAACCTTCAGTTTCAGTATTAGTATAAAAAGTAGACCTTACCTCTTTAGTTATGTATCCATCCTTATTTATATCATACAAATTAAAAGCCCAGTTCAGTTTCTCCTGTACTGTCCCTCGGAGTAAAATTGAGAGACCCATAACAAAATCCTAAAGGGACAAATGATCTTGGTAAGTTTGGAATGGAACAGTATTTCACAAACACTCAGAAATGCAGACAAATACATCAGAATCACAGAAATCCTGAGAAGCATGTTATTTCTTTCACTTGACAGTAAGTGTTAAAGATTGCTGGTTATTCAAAAAATTAAATGTCTAGGCACTGTATACTACACTAGTAATTAACAAGCAAATTGATCAATTTTCTATAAAATAAGCCACTGTTTTCCGTTAGTGTATTCATCCTCTGAAATGCCTCATGTAAGAAGTCTTTGTTGAATTAATTCCAAGTAAAAACAAACCCCGTGGTGTAATGACTCAGAACAAAGCTTAAGCAGGAATTAGATTAATCTGAGCACAGGAGACCAATTTTGGAATAGCTATCCACCGAGGAACATTACATTCTTGTTGTATGTATACCTCATTGGAAGTAGAATATATAGTTCTCAAAACTCTTAGCTGGAGCTTGTGCAGTCAGCATTAAAAACTAAATGTGTGTAACCTCAATACATAAATCTTTCATTGGAAATCCAATAGGAAATGGCAGTTATTTTGCATCCATGTGCCATCTCAGTGGTCCTGTTACCCATCAATACTCTATTGCTTTACATCTACTCCACAGGAGTAAAAAAGAAAACTGCTGAAATTATATGCACGTAGAGTTTGGCTATGGATAAATGACAAATTAACATTAGTCAGGATTACTCAGACTATGCCCTTGATCAGCAGACAAGCAATTCTGAAAACTGATATACTTACGTAACACCAGGGCTAGAACAAGATTTTTACTTCACAGTTGTAATGCTGTAATGTGATAGAAAGTACAGCAATAATAGCAGAGTGGTACAATCTGAGGCTACAATAAATGAGAACAAGCCCCATAGATGCAGAAACAAAGGAAGAAAAACTGCTTAACTTTGGAAGGTCTCAGGTAGGCAGTGATCTCCAGAAAGATACCCTCACCTTCACTGCCAGCCCTTAAATGAGGTCTGGGAGTGGATCCTGGCTGCACCCCTACGGGTCACTTGTTTATGCACCTGAGCTCCCCTGGGTTGGGCCTGCATTCTCACCAGGTGCTCAATCACTGTTCAGGCTGTGACTGCATTTCCACTACAACAGTTAATATTCTTTCAATAACACAAACCTTATTTACATTGCATGAACATCATCCATACTAGAGAAGATAGCAATCAGACTGCACTGTAATCTGTCTTCTGCATTTCTTAGCTAATTTACTGCATTTTTAAAAACTGTGGCTTTTTTTTCCCTAAGCTTTTCCTCCACTTATTTCTCTTTGATAAGCTTGTATACCCATACATCTGTAAAATCATCCCTATAATGTGTCAAGCACAATAATTCAATAGCTTATATTTAAATGTGCATTTTTACATTATTGTTAAAGACATACAGGAATTCTTTAGAGTAATACTAAAGCAGAGACTACAAAAGCTGAATGATTCTGTATTATCTTTGGCAAAGTGTGCATTTCCTTAAAACAGGAACAACAGAAAAGAATGCATACCCAGTGGAGTAAAGCAAACACAAACATCACAGCCTTAGATGCTCTGGTAAGAAGAGCTCTTTTGACAGTTTCAGTCATTAACAATTCCAGTAGTATGCTCTTTGTTTTTTAGTCTGTCATAAATTTCTGTGTTACTAATACATGTGCCCTTTGGGGTAAATTAATACATGAGTCTTGAAAAGAGTTTTGGTCAACTTATCTTGTCTACATCTCAATGACTAATTGAGGGTCATAGAGTCAAATCTCCAAACAGCTCTTTAACAGCGTGCTATAAAGTATTAAAATGTCCAAGAAATTTAGAACAGATTTGATCACATTACAGCATTAGCAATTAACCTTTTTGATTCAGTACTATTCGTATTTTTCTGCACTATTTTACTTCCTTCCTGATGCCATGTTTCTTGAATTCTTCTGCAGAGGTCTCCAATAACTTTATTTTTTTTAAATAATATGTTTCACAACTCTTGACACCAGCAACATTTGCATTTATTCTGATGCTTAGAGTTGTGAGGCACTGGAACAGGCTGCCTAGAGAAGTAATGGATGCCCCATTCCTGGAGGTTGGATGGGGCTCTGGGCAGCCTGATCTAGTGTGTGAAACCCCCGCCCACAGCAAGGAGGTTGGAACTAGTTTGACTTTAAGCCAACCCAAGCCATTTGATGATTCTTAAATAATATCTATTTTCCTTTTCCTTATTATTTCTCTTCCTTTCTTTGAGGCACCCACTCATACGCTAGTAATCTTACTGACAACTCATAACCTTCCAGGTGTATGCTCTAAGCTTTGCAAGAGTGGGTCACCTCCTTCCCTTTTGCATCAGTGCATTTGGGAATCATACCCACATCAATCCAGGCACACTGCCTTTGTCTAAGACTTCTCTGGAGTTCTCCAGTTCAGGAACTACAAAAAGGACTTATCATGAAAGGAGGTTGTGATGAGCTGAATAAGGACCAGTTAGGACAGGATATCTTTTCTACATATTTAATTTCATACAATTTAAGAATATAATAGTAAAACCATTTAGAAATGGAAAATCAGATTCAGCGGTCAAAGACTGAATCCACACAGCATTTTGGGCTAGATCTTCAAACAGAGAAAGGCTCTGGATGGTGGAAGGAGTGGTGCTGCCAGGAGTGGTGCAGCTACAATGTTAAGCTAGTGATGCAATACAGAATGCTACAATGGAGCAATAGTATTTAGGGCAGAAAATAAGCTCAGATGGAGTCTGCCATGGAAGCACACCAAGTATGAGTTCTTTGCTATTTGCCTTTATTCCTTTTCACAGCTCCTCATTTCCAATCGTCTAGCTTCCTACTGAGCCTCTCAGTACTTGTGAAGACTTTGATTAAAGGGGTCTAATAGGGAATGTTAGTTACAGACATAATGGGGCACAAATGCAGTTAAGACAGCAAAGGTTACCAATGAACTGCAGGAACTGCTATTGAGAGGAACTGTATTTACGTGTATTGCTTTACACTGTCTGGTATCAGAACTCTTGTGAGATCCTCACTGCCATGCGAAAAATTGGCTGCTTACATATATGGCATCAGCAAGGCTTTTATGTCTTTAACAGAGAACCAGACTTGAAGACATTCAAGCTCAGTAAATCCCAAGTTGCTGTCTTGGAGACAATACCAGTTCATTACTGTTGTTATTAATTAAATACCAAAGTTGCATTTGATCTTAAGACATAAAAGAAGACATAAAAAGGCAGCATAATTCTGGATTCTCCACTAGAAATGAGTTAGCAAGCTAGTTAATTAATTAATTAATGCAAAATTCTGAGGGAACAGTTGAGGAATGAAATAATCAGGAACTCGCCAACAACTTTACGAAGGGATAATTAATCATTTTAGGAGCAACAAATACAGATTACAGATTAAACACTGTTTAACATCTCCATTGCATTTGGCACAGCTTTTGTACTTGAAGGCACTGAGAATTAGTGGGGTTACTGAGTGACTTTTCCTTTTATCAAGATCGCATTTAGAGCTTTAATCTGCATCTATAGTAAACTCAGGGCACTGATTTGAATGTTTGCTTGTTTATTGCTTATATTAAAACAAAACTACTTTGCATAACTAATGAAAAAACTACATTAATCTCTAAATTGACACAATTACAGTATAAGGAAGGATAGTTTCAAGCAGCTGGTTCCATGAGTTTCTTTTTATACTATGTAAAATGCTGCAGCATAAGAGTCTGACTCTTCAGAACTGTATAGAGTTAAGGATGTGCAAAATTTCACATACATAACAATCTCACTAAGGAGCCTTGTTCAATGAAGGTTTTTAATCAGTACAAGTTCTGCTTAAGTCCAGTACTTTGTTAGTGATTAAAAATGTGATGAACAAAGATCAAAAAGCTAGAACAAATTCTCTTTCTTCTTTCCTGCAATTCTAGCTACCACAGTGTCATTAGAAAAAAGGAAAGTGCAACAGACAAAAAAAAAAAATTCTACATGTTATATCTGTAGTTCTTCCAATACCATTTCGAATTTTCCTGTCCTTTTCACAAAGAAGAGAGTCAAAGAGTATTTTTTCTTCACAGATCACAGACCATTATACTAAACTGCATTTAGTTCTACACTGTGATGTAAAAAGAAGTCTGGAATGAATCATTATTTGTTCACCAAATTTTTAAATCACACCACTGTTCCTTTACTCTTTGTGCCAATGGGTTTTCTGCGTCTTTTTGGTTTATGTGTTCTTTTGGGTGTTTTTTTTTGGTTTTTTTTTGGTTTTTTTGGGTTTTTTTTTCTGGCTAAAGGGAATTAACTAGAGTGTGGATTGGTACAGAAAAGATATGGTTGCATTTGAGATAAAAAGGATCAGGAAAAAAAAAAATGTGGTTTTTCCCATTTCATGAAACCCACGATTCACAGCTACTTTCACATGATTAGAAAAAATCAAAACATTTTTAACATTAGAGGGATGCTTTTAGAGTGGTTATTGTACTGTTTGTAAGTATGAAGCTGCTACATGGCACAACGACACTGAAGCAGGGTCTTTTGACTGCACTAGAATTACACTGGGCTTACAATTAGTGCAAATGAGATCAAAGTCCGGGTCACTTTATTCAAATTGATACTGAACCACAGTACACTGGAAAATGTCTGTTCTGGCAATGATAAAAAATGCCGTTTCTTTTATTTTTCTATTTTCCTCTATTCCAAAGCCTCTTTTGTACATGGACCTGCACTTTGAGATATTCAAATCCACTTTAAAAAGGCTTTACATCTACCTCATTTCTTAAGGTTTTCTCTTTGAAATACAAATGTGAACAAATTGTCCAGGAAGGTTACAAAAGCTTCTTTTGTTCTCATTTTCCCTAATGAAAACAGCAGAAATGTTTCTTAAATATTGATGCTAAAAATACTTTCCAGCACTGCTGCTGCTGTTACTGATGTTAACCAGGATTCCTTGTAGAATTAGCCTGCATACAGAAGACGTGAAAAAAAGCTCAATTTCTGCTTCCAGTTTTACATGGAGCCTATTGATTTCAGCTACCTGGAAGAAGGCAGATGGGGTTTGTGTTTTTTAAATAAATGCAAATAATCTCCCACAAAATGCTCTAGTTATGTTCCCAGCTGAGGTTTAGATTTGCGATCACAGTGCACCTGCTTGGCAAGGATTCCTCCATATTATATCAATAATAAAACCATAAAAACTTTTTAAAAAGATTTTCCTTCAAATAATAAAAACATATATAGAGCATTTAAACAAATTTCCAGCAGTTAAATTTAATTCCAAACCAATCTCAGATTGTAAGGATACCATCTGTCCATTGAAAAACAAGCAAAACATTTAATTCTTTAGCTCAAAGTAAGGGGTCCTTTTCAGCACAACCTGCTTTCTTTTAACTGCTGCAGGGCGTTGTCTTTTTTGTTATGGTTTTGTGTCAGTGACGTCAGCCTTTGCAGGTGGTGACAGCAGGGAAAGACAGAATTTTTAAAAACAGATTGGGCAGGTAAACAGAGGAAGAATTAGTTTTAAACATCTGTGCTTTTAAATACTATATATGTTTGTAGAACTCCTCCTGGAAATAATAGAGTGTATAAGGAATCCTATTTTGTCTGAATCATCCTCTCAACTTTAGCTGGATCAGAGTATTTCTCATCTTGAAAGAAGGGGAAAAGATAAGGATTCTGTTATGCAACTATTGAATAAGTTGACTTACCTTGTAATGGGCAAATTTACAAAAACTGTTACATAGCATGGTTTGAGTTTCACTTCTAGGATATACGACTGTAAAATAAAGATTTTGTTACCATGTCAGAAAAATTTGAGTCTTTTTATGTGATCCATATAATGAAACCAATCACATTCAGCTTCACTGCAAAGAATATTAAAGCATTAAAGAAAATGCAGAGAAAAGATATAACAGTATCACTCACCTCAAAACTTACAGATCCATTGTGATCAGTGTCAAATGCATTAAACAGAAAATGTGCATAAGTTGTGGAATCTAAAATTTAAAACAATAAAAACATGTCACAATAAGCACACCTTCATAGTAAGCACGTCTTATTCAGTGAAAATAATTACAGGAAGATATATTTTGACACCAACTAAAATTAAAATTTCAAATCACTTTAAACTTTTTAGGGGGGGCAGGATGAACGGGGTAAATTAGATTAAGTATATGTGCAACTAGACCTGAAAGGAAATTCTGAAAATATAGGCTAGAATATCTTTATTCATTTTCATTACCACTGCTGCATGCAAATGATTAATCACTGAGATCTGAACAAGTGGTTAAGAAGTCATGTTATTGTACTCTGGAACAGTCTGCATCAATGGGAATGCTACTTTATCAGTTAAATGACCATGATGGGAGATCTTTCTCATGTGCTAAGGAAGAAAAATGTGTTCATTTGTCACTTTAAGTGAGGGAAGCAGGCACTGCCATCTGTGCACTTGGCGTATGGCTTTTACTCTGACAACAGGCAGATTGCTTCAGTTGAAGATGAGCGGGTCAGAAGCTGCTGCTGCTCTGGGTCTCTGCATAACAAACTGGCACAGGGAAATGCAGAAGATGAGATTTCAGAGTCACTTCAGTGGCATTTGCCATCCATCTGGCTGTTCAGTACTTGTCAAGAGCCACAGGTGAGAGACCCATAGCTGGAATACTGCTCAATTTCCATTTTACAAAAACTAGATGCTTAAAAACCATGAACATGAGTTGCTGTGACTAACTGAAGAGATCAATAATATTCTGAAAGATGGCTGAGCGAGTAATGCCTTCACTAATTGTTTACTTTTCAAGCCTTTTTCACTTCTTATCAAGTCATTTTGGAAACACTATACAGCATCCAACATATGGTTTTGTAAGGATGCATCTTTCCATTTCCACCAGATTCCTTCCAAGAGACACAAATTAGTTCAGGAGTTTTGAAACGAAACTTTTATTTTGAAACGAAACTCAAAACTATGCTTCACAGATTCAGACCAAGTAAGCGATGTCTCTAATCTTCAATATGTTGATTCAATAAAATATAACTGTAATAAGAACAAACCTTGCAGCTTTCAAATCTTTTGTCTGTTAACACATTTCAGAGAATTTCCTCCCAAAAATTTAGAAATTCTGTGGAGATATTTGTTCGCTCATCCATGATGCCAGCCATCAGTGTGGTTGCTTAAACATGACTCAGCAGGTGAATTTCCACTTTAACTGAAAAATGTAAACTTCTTTACTAAAGTTTATGTTTAGAAATTTAATTCTCATATTTTCTAAAATCTACTGAGACATCTGTTGTACAACAATACAGGATACAAGTCATCTTCAGAAAAAAAAAAACAACCACATTATAGAGGCATAATTACTGCAAAATGAATTTTAAATACCGTCCAATTCTCTTGGCACTCATTTCTTGAAAACGTGTGAAATATTCCTAATCATTTTCTGTGTATTTACATTTTGTTTGTGCATGTAATTTTAGTCTGAAATTTTGTCTTCAAAAGCACTGCAGGATGAGGTACTCTGGTGTTTTAATTACACCTACTTAATGTGATCCGCATACTCATCTTGAACATTAATCACTTTAGACAAAAGCTTTACTTTTTAAGTCAGATGTGTTTTCATTTCAAGGATCTGATATAACTAGTAGGTTAAATTGATATTTTGACAGGCTGAGGCAGGAACAGATATTAAATCAGAATTCTTTTGAAATACATCGTTAAAACATTTTAAATATCAGACCAAAAAATGGTAATCATTATATATCGAAGAGTAAGCCTTAGAAAACCATGAACATAATCCATTCTTTTCTTAACTGATGAGCAGTTAACTGTAATTGCTCAGTGTGTGGATTCCTATCTGTGACCTGCATGTCTGAAGAATAAATGCCAGTGCTTTTTTCTCAGACAACCTGTTGTGTGCATGCACAGAAGCTACTGGGGCCTAGTCATTCACCAGTATAGCACTGGCTTTCTCATTTTCTAGAAAGTTAATTTTCTACTTTTCTACTTTTTGGGCATGGAAAACTTTTCAGAAAGTTATACTGCCTTTTGAAATACATTGATTTTACTACAATTCTGTGTCATCTCCTTTGATATTCTTGTAGATCCTGTGTCCCTAGTCCTGGGTAGCTCTTGACATCACTTTGATAAAGTTGCTGGATGACATTGGCAGATCATGATTTGATAATTGCTTGCTCTAAGGCTTAAAATGTTACTCAATATCATTCCTTTTGCTCAGGTGATATGCACAGTTTTAATTATAAATTCTGTTGTGTCAATTTTTTGATTATGTGAACGTTTATGGCACACATCTACATGTATGATGTTTTAACATGGGGACATATGAATACGTTGCCTTTGCTGTTGTGATTTCAAACATTTTTCTTTTTAATATTCATATGCAAAAGCAGTATTTTAAGTTCAGCTGAAATTCAGAGGCCTTGGCTAAAATGCTGTTAGCATGCACAGCAACATCTACTGCAGATGAATTTCTGGATTTGATATTTTCCTACCATGCTAAAATTGTAATACACGGGGTTTCTTTAAAAATAATTTCGACTCAGTAAAGCAAATTTGCTGTGCAGGTGACAGGAAATGTAGTGTATTAGCACCTCTGAAGCTTTGAATTTGATTCTGGGGGTAAGTTCACTTCATGGACTCAAAACTGAAAAGAAGCTAAAGATTTATAGTAGTCTATTGGATCCTGGTTTTCTTAGGGATTCGTTTTACTGCATCTTCCCAAAGTTCAATAAAGAGAAAGAAAAAAGCATATTTTCATTCCAAAAAATACAGTACCATTGTCAGCTCTGAATATTGTTGCCACTGCTGCCAACAAGCCACAGGATTTGCAGAGCTCACTGCAGAACCAAGGCCAGGCAGGCTCATGCTGCATGGGCTCCTCTTAACCTGCCTGCAGCTTTGTCTTTGTTTTCCTCAGTGCAGCTGTGACAACTGCTTCTCTGATCAGCCAGGTTTCTGAGGCTGATTGGTATTGCTTTTGTGGTACAACTCTAGAAACACAGTTATTCTAGGCTGCAATGCTGGCTTGGGTAGGATAGGAGGGGACTGGGCACAGGCTGGAACTGGAGAACCTACAGCCATAATGGACTCACCTGGAGCCAGGTGAAGAAAAACAGATGTGGAGCTGGACAAGAGTGGTATTAGGGGTAGCAAGAAACAAGGAAATAGTAAAAGATGCCATATAATAAATATAGAAGTAACATAGAGCTGAAAACCAGAAAGGCACACAAATGATCTGAAGTGAATCCTAGAACAAAGAATGAAAAAGCACCAACAAAAGTATCATATTCCTTGTGGGAGAATTTCTGCATGCTGACTCCTCCCTTCATCCCACAAATGATGTCACTCCATCATCCCAGAGGAGCAGTGGACAGGTGAGCAGAAGACAAGGAAATGGGGTAGAAACTAAGAATTGTCTATGTAGCAATTTTAATTTTAATTGCATTAATGTTCTTACTGTTTCTTTGTAACAATTAGCTCTGGGCTAACAAAGGTTATACTTTTGTGACTGCACTTATTCGAACAATAAACCTACTTGTGTAAAAGTTGTTCTTTCTTTTTGCCCATGAACTATTTTGAGTGTAACAATAAGATTTTTTTATTCTTATAATTTTAAGTGCAGTAAAGATGTAGTAAACCACATACAGAGTAGTTGTTTTCACCAGCCAGAGTGGTTAGAAAATGCAGTATCTGAAACTGTAATTATTAGCCTGGCTTAAAAGCTTAGATGCAGAAATAATCAGCAAGCAGGTCAACTCTTCTAGCCTCTTGTTCTTCCCTATTGATTGTGCCTACTTGTTGAAAATTCCAGTGATGGTAATCCTCACTGAATGCTGCTCTTTACCTTGTAGGTTTTTATTTAAAATGAAACTAATTGGGAAAGCTTTTGTTCCTACCAATTAAGTTGAGGAGTTTTCTGATTTTTTTTTTTTTTTACATGCATGAAAAGAAAGAGCTATGAAGAGCTATGAACTGTTCTATGCTAGCATGCAAATCTCAAGAGCTGTGGGAAAAGATGAAGAGGCAGGACTGAAGAGCTGTAGGAAAATAGGAAGAGAGAGGACTGAATGGTAAAGGTAAGCAAAAGAGGGGAAAACTATTCAAACTAAAAAATAATCTGCATTTTGAGGCAAAAGAAAAAGTGAAATGTTTTGTGTTGCCTTTATTGTACTGAAAGATAATGAAGAAATAGAAATTAATGAAGGCCCTGAAAGCCATTGCACTGAAGTTAAGCATAGCAGAAACAGCCTTTGTTTATGTAAAGAAACTCCATGAAAGTCAAGGGAGTTCTCGCACTGATACAAGATTCTAATTTGACCCACAAGTCTAGTGCCTCCTACAGATTTCAATCCTACTGTGAAAGGTTTTGTGGAGTAAAAGAGAATGGAAAAGAATGCATAGGAAGTTTGAAAGGACATAACCTACTTCAAAGACACCCAAATACAGGTGGTATCATCGTAACAGTAGACTGACTTCATGTACATGTTGCATTTCCTTCAGAAACTTACACTTTTAAATGTGTCCAATAAATACCCCAAGAATTTAGACCGAGCCTGAGACAACAGTCTCTTAATTTGAATAGGGTCTTTTGTCACACTTATAAGTGAACAAAAATGTCACTATGCACTGCTGTACCAATGAGGGCTGCCAAGTACTCACCTCCCTGTGGAAAGAACTGAGAGTAAATCTCTTTGAAGGTCTCTTCATTGACAACACCACTGGGACATTCCTGGAAAAAGTTAGAGACAATAAATAAATAATGTGGAATCTGTTTCAGGCGAGCCCTATATTAAAAGACCACATAGAACATGTGTGAACCTGAGAGTTTAACAAGCTACAAGAGCTTGATTTCACTCTAACAATATTAATGCATTAAACGTGCATCACTTTGAAATGCCTTCCTAAAGAGTTCCCATTAGACATCTTTTTTTCTGTGCCATTTCTTCTCAACTTCAGCATATAGAACTGAGTGACAGCATGAGTAACAGCTACTGTGCTGCAGTGCAACGTTACTGCTGGTCATGGGCAAGCAGCACCTGTGTGGCACAGAAACCAAGCAGGAAGCTAAACTGCATTTGCAGTTCAGTATCACAATCAAAATATGCAGTCAACATATAACTCTGACGACTTAATGTATTCAAAAAACTCCACCTCAGAAGGTCTTTCTCAAGCCTTGCAGATCCTTCTGCCTCTTTACATCTTGTTTATAAACTGAAATATGTAAGGAAGAACGAGCAGAATCTGTCACAGCAGGGTGTAATCAGAGAAAACAATGTGAAACAAAGGGGAAGAAAAGAGGATTAGAGCAGTGACTTTATAAAAATGAGTTATGTAAAGAGGTTGGAAAAACAAGGAAAACAATATCAGTTAGTAAGTCATGCAGTAAAAATCAAAGGCAAGACTGTGGAGTCAAGTCCCAAACTTTCCAGACTGAGCAGATGATTTCAGATAACGCACATAATTCCCTTTTGCCTTAATTCCTTCTTCAATACAGTGGGTGAAAAAAAAAGCCTGGCAAGCTCTATAAGACAAAAGTATGTCTGGAAACAAAGTAAGGGAACAAAAGTCAAACAGTTAAGGTTTGTATATATATTTGTCAATTGCTATGCTATTCACACTCATATGTGATCCTATTCTGGAGCACTGGGGAAAGGAAATAGCTTCATACGAAGATAAAGAACAGTGTAACATTGTTTGCCAGTGTAATAACAGCTTTTCCTGTGACAAATGACATTTCTATTAGATCAAATAAGAAACAACAAGATATTCATAGCTTTGACAGCTTATGTGAAGAAACAAATAGTGTCATCTCACTAATTGAGAGATGATGCACTGCCTGAAAAATCCATGTCAGATCTGTAGATGTTGGATTATTTTGACTGATGTCACGCTCAACCAAAATTTTGATTTATGTCACTTGCCCTCAGCCAAAATCAGACCTTCAGTTCCTGATCAGTGGGAGCATGAAATACATAGTAAGAAACAATTCTGTTTATCAGAACAGGTAGACAAAGGGCAGGCATGGAGACATAAGTACGAAACAATTTGTGTATGGCCATGGAGGCTGGCACTGATGCAAGCAGAATGAAAGTGCAGGCAATGAACAACATCTTGAATTTATCTAGGTAGGTTCTCTGTATTTAGCTCTTCTCTTTGTCACAGCATTGCCAGTAACAGCTTACATTTTCTATCCACGTAATGTAAAACCTGAAATATTGGCCAATTACCCTTAGAAAAAACAGTTAGTTTCAAACTTTTCTTTTTTTAGCTCGGAGCTTTCTTCTGAGACTCTACAAGACTGCAAACAGCTTTTCCTTGATCAATTTGAATCTAAATACATATCTAGTGAACATCATTTACCTCCAATAACATTCTTTTGCTGTCTCATAAATCTGGCATTATTGAATTTATCAAGAGATTTCTCCATTTCTGTAAAAGGCATTTAATATTGTAATTGTTAAGTATTCCCCATGGCTTTATATCAAGTTTTTGCTGACTTCTTCCATTGTACCAACTGTAATTTAAAAAAAATGTTTCTAATTTTTCATTTAACTCTTACGAAGCAATATAATAAAATAGTTTGAAAGAAAAATGTTAGACATTTAAACCATTTCCTATATATATATATATTTTTTTCCCTCCAGATGTATATATAATTTATTTCGTTACAGAAAATTGGTTTGACAGTCCTTTAAAATTGCATTAAATTGCATTATGTGTTCCTTCTGGAAGAAAAGGAAAGGAGCATAAATTCATCTTGAACTGTTCTTCCTGAGTCCTGTCCTCTCTCCTTTAAAGAGAAAATAAGATAGACTGACAGAGAGAATAGAGATAGAGAATAATAAATATGATTCTGCTTTTTGATGGTCTCTCCTGCTTGCTGTTTTACTGCTGGGAAATTACACCTCCAGCACATGGTCTTATGAACTACTCCCAAACCTGTAAATTATTTACAAGCTTCATGCTGTCTAAGCTGTCTTTTTTTTTTAAAGTATTTCTAAGAATATTGCACTGGGCAGATTTATCTCTACCACTTAATCAACACCCGTTTTAGACAAGAGAAAAAAGAAGAAACAGTGAAGGGAAAAGGGAACAAAGCAGAAAAAAACACCAAGCTCATAAATTTGTCTGTACAATAAACATTTTTTAATGCTGGATTAAGCTGTATTACCAACTTTGGCAATTTTAAATATATTTTACTTATAGGCTTTTGCATGTCAACTTTCCCATCAAATTTTGTTCTGCTTAATTTCAGATATATGTTCATGTCTATCAACTTAATTGTCTGACTAACAATATTTTCTCTTTTTGCATAGACTTCTATTCTGACTGAAAACTTAGAAGTACCATGAATGCATAATGTAATGAAAATCATAAACATAATTCTGAAATATTCTTTGAAGTTAATTCTAACAAAACCCACACAGCTCAAGCCCACAGTGACTTTTCATAGCCTGGTCCAGTTCTTAATTTTTCATTTGAATATAACAGGACTTTGACAAAATCAGCATGAGAACATTAAAAATCGCCTTCATTTAACAACATAATCTAGGCCAAATTAATAATGAAATCCAGGCCAACATTCACATCATGAAGTATGATCAGAATTGCAATGCTCTACACCTGGAAAGAAATTGTTCCTTGCACCAGAACAAGTTGTGAAGAGATTGGCAGAATGGCATGACTGCCAAAAAGGAGGTGGGGTGACAGCAGATGTCAAATTGAGTACGAGTCAACAAAGCATTCTTACTGCAAATAAACCACCTCCCAAGCGATGCTGGCCAGCTACTGTCCCTCCCTGCTTGTCAGAGTACAAAGAAGAGGCTAAGGGTCCTCCCAGGGATGTGGAGAGTATGAGGAGGGATGGAAGGCATGTGGAGAGGTGGAGAGGTTGGGGCCTGTTTCACATAGGTAGGTCAATGCTAAGGTATGAGCCAGCAGCTACCTGAAGAGCAGTAATATCCAAGCCCTTGACTGGGGCAGACACTTTAACAAAATTCAGTGGCCGCAGCCTGAGTTTTGTGAGCTAACACTGGACAGATGACAAAAATTATTCTATACTTCTTGGTACACTGAATTCTGATATGTTTGATATAACCCCTAATTTAGGGAGAATTTGTGCTGTTGATCAGCTTTGGAAAGTTGTTGCATTGCATGTATGGGGCAGAACTTTATGCACTCCTTGCTTCTAAAGCTGCATCTCTGCAAATTCATTATCTGGGGGTTTTAGTACTGTATAAATTATTGGGAACAAACCCACTGACACTTAGTTCATAAACTGCTCTTGTCTTGTTCCTTCTGTGAAATAAAATGTGTTCCAAAAGTAGCACATATAAGGAACAAAGGTACAAACTGTGCCTCTAAGGACAAGGTAGGGACTTTGGTGAGAGATGTCTAACATGGTCTCGTTATGCCTTGGAAGGAGAAAAGCAGATAATCTCTCTCTGGAAAGGGCCCTTCACATCCTGACATGCAGGCTGACACATTGCCATTAACAGTACAGGCATACTAAAGGCTTTTGGTAAAATGGATGTGTATGTCAGCTGTTGTTCTTCAGTAGCTGAGTCAAACAGGTATTTGTAGCACAGATATGAGCCTTATAAATCTTAGCAACTGCCACATTCAAAACCTAACTCAGAATCTCTGATGCTCAACAGCTTCCATGTTTTGCCAGTTCACGTCAGATAATAGTGTTCTGCTGCTCAGGTAATGGCTCTGTAGCCATGGGTCCTTATGGAAAAAAAGCTGAAATCCCAGCAGCTAGGAGGGTGAGCGGTGACAAAAGCACTAAGGTGAGTGTGGGTGGATGAAAATAATAGAAAAAGTTATTTCAAACAAGCAGTGACACGTTTAAAAAATGCTTTTAAGTTTGTTGAAAAACTAACGTGATTCTAATTGCGGGTAATTGGCTGAGCAGTGGAGTTATAGTGCATGAAGTTAATGGTTGTAGAATAAAAATAAAAACTACAAGTGACAAAAAGCAACAATAGCATCACGACGATAATTTCCATGTCAAGGTTCCCAAGTGTTTAATTTTCCTTCCTACAGCTGCAAATCCAGCTTGTTTCAAATGGCTCCTTGGAGTGCCTGCTGATTATTCTAATATCATTGTTTACCTTCAACACAGGGTGTCCAAAGGTGTTTGTTTTTCCCCCAATGCACCAGCTCCTCCGGAGCTGTCCCTGCTCACTTCTGTTTATATTTTATATACATTTTGCTCCCAGCTGTATGCTGAATTCTGTTAGCTCAAGCAGATCCACTAAGGAGGGTATTACATTTAATAAACGTATATAATTCAATATATAGCACATTAATTTGTATTCCATATATCACTACTGATTTTACTTGGGAATATCTCTAGTATTAAAAATAAGTTTACCGGTACCAATCAGGCTAAGCTCAAGTTTTGACCACTGCTAGAACTGCATGCTGTGAATAAGCTTGTAACTTACTGTATTCTAAACAAAACAAAACAGGTAATTTTGTAACTCATTTCTCTATACTAAAAAATAAATCTAACTCAACCTTGATGTATTCATCAGGAATGCATTTCTATGCCAGCTTATTTTGAAGTGAGTAATAGTATGATTAGCACTGTGTCCTGAAAACATTCTTAGAATACAGGGTAGTTTTATATGTATATGTGTGTGTGTATATATATATATATATATATTTTTTTTTCCCCCCAGTAAAAAGGCAGAACACATATCAGAAGTGATCTTACTGACA